TCTTCTTAACTTTAGTTGATGACTTCACCAGAACTACTTGGATTTTCTTAATGCGGCATAAGCATGAAACAATCATACATCTCAAGAAATTTTTTGCTCTCGTACATATTCAATTTTCTGCCTCTATCAAGATTGTTAGATCAGATAATGGGAGTGAATTTTTTAATTCACAATGTGCTGATTTATTTACTTCTTTGGGGATTGTTCACCAAAGCTCCTGTGTAGCCACTCCTGAACAAAATGGTGTAGTAGAGAGGAAGCATAGACATCTTCTTGAAGTGGCCAAGACATTAAAGATTCAAGCAAACATTCCTATATCTTACTGGAGTGATTGCATCCTTACTGCTTGTTACATCATCAATAGTCTGCCCACTTCAATTCTTTCTAACAAAAGTCCATACGAACTGCTCCACTCTAGACCTCCTTCTGTTGAGCATTTCAAGGTATTTGGGTGCTTATGCTATGCTGCCAACTTCACTTCTAAAGATAAGTTGGGTGTTAGAAGTATTCCTTCCATTTTCCTTGGTTATTCATCAACTCAAAAAGGCTACAAACTCCTCTCTCTTGCCACTCGAAAATTGTTTGTCAGTAGAGATGTGCAATTCATGGAGCATATTTTTCCCTTTCAATCTGCCATTCCATCTCCAACATTATTTCCCTCTTCAGAACCCACAGATACTTTAGATTTTGGTTCTGATTTCCTACATCAGACTTATACACTGCCTCCTGAGTCTCATATCACTCACACACAGCATCAGTTTCCACTAACTCCTGAGTCTAGATCTATTCCACCAACTCCTGCTGCTCCTAACATTCATGTTTCTTCTCATAATTCTCCAGATATTCCTGCCCCTGCAGTCATTGTTCCAACTCCTAAAAGATCATTTCGCAGCACCAGGCCTCCATTATGGCTTACAGACTATGTCTCCTCTCATACTTACTTTGCTATTCAGAAGTATATTTGCTATGATCATCTTGCTAGTCCTTATCAATGCTTCCTTACTTCTATGTCTAAACATATTGAACCTTCTTCTTATGAAGAGGTTGTCAAATACCCTCACTGGATTGAAGCCATGAAAGCTGAAATCAGTGCCTTGGAAGCTAATCATACTTGGGAGTTGGTCTCTCTTCCTCTTGGCAAGGCAGCCATAGGCTGCAAATGGGTATTTAAGGTGAAGTACAGATCTAATGGCACTCTTGAACGCTTCAAAGCCAGGCTTGTAGCCAAGGGCTACAACCAGCAAGAAGGAATTGATTTCACAAAAATATTTTCCCCAGTTGCAAAAATGGTGATAGTGCGCACTATCTTAGCCTTAGCTTCTATTCATCAATGGCCATTATATCAGATGGATGTTTTTAATGCATTTCTTCAAAGAGATCTGCATTAAGAAGTGTATATGGAGTTGCCTAAGGGGTTTCGCAATTAGGGGGAGCATAAGGCATGTAGATTGCTCAAAAGTCTTTATGGTTTGAAACAAGCCAGCAGGCAATGGAACCTAAAGCTGACTGAAGCTTTGATTAAGAATGGTTACATTCAGAGCAAGCATGATTACTCTATGTTTACAAGAAAACATGGCAGCAAGATTGTCATTCTACTGGTTTATGTAGATGATATATTAATAACCGGAAATTGTGAAGAGATGATCAAACAGTTGAAAGACATTTTGCAAAGAAGTTTCAAAATAAAAGACTTGGGAGAATTAAGATATTTTCTAGGAATTGAAGTGGCTAGATCCGAAGAAGGCATAGTGTTGAATCAGAGAAAATATGCCTTGGAATTGATCTCTGAAGTTGGAAGAGATGCTAAACCAATCAAAACTCCTTTTGAGCAAAATCAGAAAATTACTTCATTTGAATATGATCAGAAATATCCACCAACAGAAGAAGATAAATTGCTGGAAGATCCTTCTATATTCAAGAGACTGATAGGCAGACTGCTCTATTTAACTATGACAAGACCGGATATTAGTTTTTCAGTACAAACTCTTAGTCAACATATGCATAATCCAAAGCAATCACATTTAGAGGCTGCACTGAGAATTGTTAAATATGTAAAAGGAGTCCAAGACTTGGATTACTGATGTCGTCAAATAGTAGCATGGAGCTAATAGCTTACTGTGACTCTGACTGGGTTGCATGTCCAGTAAGTAGAAAATCTGTTAGTGGATATTGTGTGAAGTTAGGTGAATCTCTCATATCGTGGAAAACAAAGAAACAAAGCACTGTGTCCAGGTCATCAGCAGAAGCAGAGTATCGAAGCATGGCAAGCACAACTACAGAGATAGTTTGGCTATTAGGACTGCTGAAAGAATTAAATCTGGAGAACATGAAGCCTGTAAAGCTTTTCTGTGACAATAAAGCTGCTCTACAAATTGCAGCCAATCCAATGTTTCATGAGAGAACGAAACACATTGAGATTGACTGCCACTTTGTAAGAGAAAGAATCCAAGATAAAACTTTAAGCACAGAATATGTTTGCAGTGGAGAACAAGTAGCAAATATCTTGACAAAAGGATTAGGGAGACAACAACATGAGAAATTAGTTGCTAAACTTGGAATGAAAGATATCTACAAGATGCCAACTTGAGGGGGAGTGTTGAAGGACAAGTTGGCCGGAATAAATGCGTGGCAGCTTAGTCAGCTCAAGTTTGTTAAACGGTAGAGTTGGCATAATTAGTTGGAAGGTTGTTAGAGTTAGTTAGATTAGTAAGTTAGTTACTTTCTGAATAACAGAAAGCAATGCATGTATATATATATATAATATATATATATATATATATATATTATATTATATATATTATATATATAGTTGTACAGATCACATGATATGAATGAGAATTTCTTCTTCTTCTCTTTAATTTGTTCAACGTCTTTTCTCTCAAATCTCACCATGTCGGAGCTTGTGTACTAAGTAATAAATCGGTGAATAATGGCATGCATCAATGTGTGTTATTGATCTTGTTATTAATATCAAATTATTCCTACCAAATTAATGTATATTCAATAGAAATATTCTAAGTAGAAGAGTTTTGACACCAGAATAAGAGAATTATATATCATCATCAATATATTTATTCAACAAAGTCTTATATCATATAGTATACATTATCCAACAAAATCTTATATCATATATTAGAGTATCTCTAAAGGACTCTTTATAGGCTATAAGGGCTTTTGAATAGGGGATGTCGATAAGTTGTTTGGTGGTGGCAGTTTGGTTTTTGGTGGTCGAGATTGGTTGAAATCTGACTTGGGAGGGGCAGTTATGCGTTACACAAATTGCTCAATTGCTGGCGATTGGCAATGTTTGAGGGGTTTTGCTGAGTGATGATAAGGGAAGAGAATGCGGTGGTGTGAGGTCGTAACGATACCGGAATCAGTTGGTGATTGGTTGGAATATGAACTTTGGATAGTAAATTGGTATTTTTGAAAATGTATAATAATATGCTTATCTTAGGGTTAAACTCCTAACACATCCTCCTTTCATTGTATGTATAATAATTTGCTTATCTTAAATAGTGTTTGATTAAATGGATAATCTCATAATCATGAATACATTTAAAATTTCAATATGACTTGAGAAGCGATGAATATCTAGGAGTGTTGACTGATTTACATTTGACTGATTTTGACCATTAAATCTCAATCTTACTCTTATTAATAATTATTAAAATAATACATTTTTGAAATAATCTCTCTTTTTCCATACCTAATTAAAAATTAATATCAATTAAATGAAACATTTAAACCAAAATCTTTTAACACAAGAGTTTTATATATTTTACAACTAAAATCTAGTCTAATTAAACAACTAATTCACATGATATGTACAAGTCGCTAGAAATAATAATCACCCACTTCTGGCTGGTTCAATGATTTTTTTTTTTTTTTAAATTTTAGGTATGGTAGAGCTGGTTAAGGACCGGTCCCAGGCCAATTTGGGACTGGTCTCATTTGGGACCAATCACTCATGGGCCTGGTCCCAGGCCTATGAGCAATTTCAGGACCTGGACCGGTCTTACAAGTCTGCAAAATTTCATTTTCCCCTATCTTTTTTTATATTTAGGGGCAAAATGAAATTATGTAGGAGGGTTTATGTAATTTTTAGGGGTAGATTAGTAATTTTCACGGGCAGCAACCAAATGAAATTTTTTAAATTTTGTAAAACTTTTTTTAACCCTTATAATTTTGTCTATTTCAAAATTTATAAGGAGTTTTATATAATTATCCAAGGGCTAAAAAAATAAACCACAAGGGTTTAGGCCTAGGCTTGGGACCGGGCCCAGGCCCAGGCCTTGGAGGAGGGCCCAGTGAAGGGACCGATCCCTCCTCCTTAGGCTTGGTTTGGTTTTGGGACCAAGCCTATTAGGACCGGTCTTTGAGGACCGGGTTTTTGGACCCGATCCCAAATGCCCAACTCTAAGGTATGATAATTAGCCACCCCTTGATACAACTCAAACTCAAGACCCCACGATGCGCAGGGAAAATAATCTTGTTGAAATGGCATACATGGGATATAATTATTATCAATATTCAGTGATTTTGACAGTGAAAGGAATTGACATTGAAATGCCAAGAGTTCTAACCATTTTCACAACCATTGATCTCTCGAATAACTAATTTCAAGGATGGATTCCACCGGAATCTACTCAAAGTGCTTAACTTCTCTACTCAAAGTGCTTAACTTCTCTTGTAATACAACCTAACAGGTTACATTCCATCGTCATTGGAAAAATATTTGACAGAGCTTGAATCTTTAGATCTCTCAAATAAGCTTGTTGGTGAAATTCCAAGGCAATTGACAAATCTAAAATCTCTTTCTGTGTTAAACCTTTCATACAACCAACTTGTAGGGGCCAATACCTCAAGGAAAACAGTTCAATACATTCGAAAAGAATTCCTACATTGGAAACTTGGGATTATGTGGATTGTCACTGTTAGACAACTGTAATATATATAACCATTTGGCGCCTAAACCAACACCTGCATTCCATGAAGAGATGGATATTATGAGCTGGTTTGACTGGAAATTAATCATGATAGGTTATGCCCGTGGACTGGTGATCGTTTTCTCGACTGGAAGACCTCGACGGTTTGTTGGAATGGTTGAAAATGCAGAGATAAAAGGCATGCAGAAGGCTCAACAAGATGCATATGAAAAGGAAATTAGCGAGTTCATGCAAAGGTTTCTTTAATCAGGTGAGTATTCCAGTACAGGAGAAACTCAAAGAATGCATTCGGATTCTTTCCTCAATTGGGTGCTTGACAATTTCTAAAAGCATAATTACTTAAGTTTGCATGTTATATTTATTTTAATAATTTGTTCTTCTTTTCAACTATTACAGATCGAACTCATCATGATCAGTTTCAAAATTTCTGCAACTCACAGAAGGAAATCAAACAACTGATACACAGAACAAATAATTTAAGATCCAACTGTTGACAAAAACAGACAAGAAAGAACAGAAGACATGAGTTTAAATATTCAAGCTATGTGGCTGACTTACTCTTGTCTTGCTATGTGGCTGATTTTCCAGCATCATTTGTTGCCTATTTATGCATTAGGAGCGGCGATGGTGTTCTGGTGTTTGAGTGGAGGCAGAATTGGCTTGTGCTTTAAGGGATGGCGGTGGTTGCCGTAAAGGGCGATAATATCATCAAATGTAAAGGGCGGTCACGTATAGTTTCTTATAACAGAAGGGTGTAACTGTTATTATGGAAACCTAAGGGGAATAAATGAAAAAACTCCTAACATATATGTAAACTTACAAATTAAATTAATACCTATCCCTTCAAAACCCTTTCCCTCTTTGTAAAATTATCTGAAATTGTTAATACAATTGCTTTGAAGAGATGGCAGCTTCAGCTATCTCTGCTTCTTTAAGCTTCTCTTCTTCTTCTCTCAACAAAATCTCCGTTTCATTTCTCTCTCCCAGGTACAATCCCACATATCCCATCTGGGTCTACTTCCATAATCGCTTCACTAACTTCAAAAATTTTACTTTTACTCGTTGCAATTAACTTTTTTTTTTCTTCAATTCTTTTGGGTTACAAGCAGAAACTCTGCCAGGTCTATTAGAGCGTCTGCGTTGCCAAGTCCGTACGGTGATTCTTCAACGACAGGTAATTTTGATCTTGTGCATTTTGATAATTTAAACTATCATCAAAATTATTTTTTTGGGTTTGACCCGGTTGATGGTTAAGCTTGTTTTATTATGTATGATTCATTGGAGTTCCTTAGTGCCTAATTTGAATGAAATTGAATCTTGTTTTGGCTTGAGTTCATTCGGTTGGGTTTATTTATTACTAAAGCTTGTGGTTAATATGATCATATATCCAGTTCTTATGAGCCATTATATGGTTGTGCGTGGGTAAATAGGTATGTGTATGTATGCACGTGAAGTAATTTGGAGTAAAATGTTTTGTTTTATCCAGGATTATCAAGTAGAAGTAGTGGGTTGCCTCTAAAATTCGACCAGAAGGATCTTCGCGGTACTGAACAGAGGTGTGTTGCTTCAGCCCTTTTGCTTGGATTGTTTTGTTTAGTTTTCTATCATTTTGTTTAAATGTGTATCTATGTGTCTATATGTGCAAGTGATTTGCTGTTTTTTGTTGTGGTTTATTCCAGTTTATTTAATGCTTTAAGTGATAATTTTGAGTGGAGAATGTATCTTTTTAATTTGAAGGTGCATTGTTAATAAAAGTACATATTTGGGCTATGCTGCCACTACATTTGTTAGCCATAGCAATATTGTTAGAACTAATAAGCTCAATTATGTAAAGAACGAATTGGCCATGGGGGAAAGCATTTCAGCTATGAGATGGTTGTTTTCGTCTATTTTTAATGTATCAGTTGAAAGCATATCTGATAGAACAATGTGCTGTTGATTATTTCACTATGACCACTGTTCTTAAATTACAGATGCATATGGTGTTGTGCAGTTTCTTTGTTGCTTTCTGTTATTTTAATTATTTGATACCTGGTGGATATAGAATTTTATAACATTATTTTATATATGCAGTTATGGTGCAATAATAGCCCAAAAGGGGAATCCACCCATAATGCCAGCAGTAATAACTCCTGGAGGTGTAATGGACCTCTCAACCATATTATTTAGGAATCGTATAATCTTCATCGGACAGCCAATCACCTCACAGGTTGCTCAAAGAGTTATAACTCAGCTTGTGACTCTGGCAACCATTGATGAGGATTCTGATATTTTGGTGAGGTTTCACATCTATTTTCTTATTCACTCTTGTAATTAACCTATTGATTTATAAATCCAAATTTCCAAAGCCTACTTCTAAAAGTTTGTGTACTGTGTCCTGTACCTTGTCAGCTGTATTTGAACTGCCCTGGTGGAAGCACATATTCTGTGTTGGCTATTTATGATTGCATGTCTTGGGTAAGATTTTAAAGTTTTTTATTATTTTTGGCTATTTGTTCACATCTTGTTTTTTTCTTTCACTTTTTAGCTTATTAGTAGTTTCATGATTATCTGATGTTTAGTTTGACCTTCCAAGAGTTGGGAACAATCTTCATATGAAATAAAATCTCTAAAAGCCCCTATATTTCAATGGTCGTGGCCTTCCATTTAGGAAAAAATTGTTGACACCTAAAACCAATGATAGTATTGTGATTATAATTTGAGGTAATAAATTCTTCATAACAAATCTTTAAGTTTATAAAACAATTTAATGCAAGTAGACATTCTAAGATGTTAATATATAGACTAGATTTGACCTTAGTGGTACAGCATTAAAATATCTTTGTGCATGTCCCATTATATACTCATATTATTTTTTCCTTTCATTTTCTTCAATTTTTTGGCTTCCCAAGTATTCAGTGATGCATTATCTTCTCAGATAAAGCCGAAGGTTGGCACTGTCTGTTTTGGAGTAGCTGCAAGCCAAGGAGCACTTCTTCTTGCTGGTGGAGAAAAGGGGATGCGCTATGCTATGCCAAATGCACGTATCATGATACATCAACCGCAAAGTGGATGTGGGGTATGAGTTGACTTAATGGTTTTGTTATTGCAAAGTTATTATGAGGTTGAGATGATTTAAAATTGTATGGATATCTCATGATATGCTTGCATGAGAGGAATGGAGGTCGTCGTAACTAAAGTTTTTGCTTTTGAATGACACACTTTTCTTTTTACTTTGGTTGTGGTCACATAATTTAAGTAAAACTGGTACTTGTTCTTTGCTTCTGTTCTCTCTTAATGAATCTAGCATTGAGGCACACATAACTGAAAGTAAATGAAATCTGCCTGAAGAATTGAAAGAATTTAGATTAGTGGTATGTAATGGAACCTCAAAACTCAAACACGGTAATGTGACTCAAACAGAGAGTTTGAACCATGCTGCTCCTTAAGCACTAGTTGCCATGTGACTTTTATGCAGGTTGCCTTAACTCTCAGTATAGTCCCCTTGGTTTTACCTACTTTCCTAAATTTTTTATTATACTTCATAAGAAACTGCTCATGTGTTGCTGTTTTCTCATTTATATCCATCTTTTCCCGTTTCCCTTATACCCTATTGGTGCATGAGCTTGTTTGAATATTCAGTACACTAGTATTTTGCTAATTTTAAATGTTGCATTACGATTATATATGTCAACCAGTGCATTGCAACAATTTGGTTATTTTAATGTCTGAGAAATTGCAAGTCAGTTAAAACTATAGAGTTGATTGTATGTCATATGTTTTAGGGTCATGTGGAAGATGTGAGGCGCCAAGTAAACGAAGCGGTTTTATCTCGCCATGTCAGTATCTCTTTCCCTCTCTGTTTCATGCTCTTTAGACCTTGAAAAATGTTCAGAATGAGTTAATTCTTGGTAATTTGGTTCTCTCAAACTTTAAAAGCGAAACTTTTCTCATTATAATTCAAGCTACAAAAGGGAATTGGTTTACATGCCCAACTAATTACCCTGTATGCCTTGAAGTTCAGAAATGATGTCATTTAAGTTCTATTTTGTTGTGATACGGCGCTATATTCTGCTTTTTTTTAATGTAATACACACCTAAGCCAAATGTCGCACAAGTTTTTTCTAGCTTTGAGTGGATGATTTATGCACAGTTCTGTGCTTTTGCTCATATCAACACTGCTGAATTAAGAGTTGTGCTCAACAATAATTTTTTATTGATGTGCTCTTTTCCTGGAAATTTGCTACAGAAAATTGACAGAATGTATGCTGCCTTTACAGGCCAACCTCTTGAGAAAGTGCAACAATACACTGAGAGGGATCGTTTCCTGTCTGTGGCTGAGGTATGTTACTTATCCTGATTTTTCTCAAACTAACAATAACATGCTGACTCCCTATGTCAAAAGATCCCAAATTAATGGATTGTCCTTATGAGAAGGCTACTATTTGATAATTTGATCTACGATGCCATCTAGGAAATGCTGTAGTTTGAAACATCCACCTCCTCATTCATTTTTGTGAGACCTTCGTGTAGTTGGAACCTTATACGATGATGATTTGATTGCATTTGGAAATGTAACCAGCAAGGTGAAGTATGTGATAAGGTTAAAGGCCTAAATCAGAATTATAGAACTTGGTATTTGATGCATTTACGTTTGCCAAAAATGGGCATATTGTCATTAATGGGATCTTGTGTTGATTTCATTAGTTTCTTAATATTGTACACATTGTCTCACAGCCCATGTATGCTCGAATTCATGATATTAATTCTACCTGCAGCCACTGATTTTGTCATACTTCTTTTGTTGCCATTTCACAGTCTATGGAGTTTGGCCTTATTGATGGCATCCTGGAAACTGAATACTGAAAGCGAAATCGTATGAGCTAAGTTTTTCAATTCTATTGGAATTCGATAGAGCAATTTGTTGTCCGACTGATCCCATGATAAATCAAAATTGTAATCATGTCCCATGAGTGATATATAAAATTTCAAATATCGCTATTTGAAGGTTTTGATTTTGATTTTGCAATCATGGGTGTTCATTGTTCTGGGTTCTTTTGAGAAATGTTATATAACTTACCTGCTATAGCTTCTTTCATTTGATACTTAAATTCACTCATCCAGATTTATCAGATGCTGATCAGCTACTGCTTCAATGAACAATAACTGTCGTCTGATTTGCATTGAACAATTTTACTCTTACAAAATTCAGATTTACCACTGCTGTGTTTACAATAATCTCTCTTGAGTTGGATGAAAATAAAAATTGTCTGTACGACTTAATGCATTGCAGATAAAACTATATACACAAATTCTCTTGTAGGAGATTTATGACAAAACAACTCAATGGCTACATTACATATACATATATAGGGTAATCGACGACCGAGAGATTGAAACTTTTATTGTCTAATCTAAATTATGAGGACCAAATATAATATGCTTAATTAGAGACTTAAGAAAATAAGATGGTAGAGTTCAAAAGAAAATGCAGTCGATGACCTATATCTCAGCACCAGTTATTGTAAGTCGTCGGATCTTGCAGAACGCAGCAGTTCATTTACCTGTCGGATGATGGAGCAATTCAGAAGGGAAAAGGAAAAAAAAAATCTTTGAAATTCAATTACCGTTTTTTATTTCAACATTCATCCTCACTTTCCAAAATTCACTAGAAAGAGATTAACATTTCAACTAATGAAACAGCTTTAGAGATATGTTGTTCGGTGTATCTGAATTTCAAACGATGAGCAGATATGCTAATCATATGAAGTTAAAACCAATCATTCAATCAAAAAATGCTCCCATGACTTTAATCAAATCTATGAGAGCAGAGCAGAGGACACCAAAAATGGTAATTTTGCAGATTAAACTGAAAATCCATCAAACCAGTTCCTGTAGTTTATGAATTAGCTAGATATTGCAAATTTATGAGTGGACTTTGTAAGATTACCATCTAACTTCCATTCTCCTTATCTGGATCATTAGTTCCCTGATATAATTGATAGAAGACGTGAACAATCCAAATCAAAAGGTAAAGGACACTTACCATATTTTTGCTCGACCATTGTGAATCTGTATATAGCCTTTATAAGCGAACCATATTTCATGGAGTTCAAGGATCCCATATGTCTGTAACAAAAAGAGACCCACAATTAAGTCACACAAGAGAAAATTAGAGGACACAGAAGCAATTTTTTTTTTTTTTTTTCAATTACTAAAATGCCCTGATGACAAAGTGATGAAGGCAAATCTCAGCAAGAAACGGGAAAGTTCATTAACCAATGGATTCTCAGCTCACATTTATCAATCACTGAAGCAAAAATGTGGGGGAAATCAATCAGCAAGGGAAGTCCAGTTAAAATTGGCTGCTATTCTTAGCATTCCTAGTACTCTCGCAGATATGAACCAAACCAAGTCTGAAACATGGCACATATCCTATATCTACACTCATGCACACGATGTGAGAGAGCTTGAACAAAAATAACCCTTAAACGCACCAATATGAACTTCAAATACAAAAGAACAGCTAACTGTTGAGTTTCTACGCGTGCTTTGAACAGCTAGTCATCATGTCGTCAACAAAATTGAACCAGATTTCCCTGGTGAATAGTTTATTTACTAACTAATATTTTATGGTCAATTCCTTGGGATCACATAGGCAAACAGATAGGGGACATATAGGTTGTAGAAAATGTGTGTATGCTCCTATAATCTTTCTGAATACATGAAATAAAAAGAAACTAGTCTCAATAAAAGAAATCCTAGCACAACAATGTAAATAGATTGATTGCAAACACCAATAGCCGCAAGTACACAGTTTCTTTGCACTAAGCTATAATCATAGAAACAATATCCAAACAAACTTTTTAATCTGTTTCCCAATTTACTTCATCAAAATAAGAAGACATTTTCATAAAACTATATCATGTAGAAACATGAAAGCCCTTCATCAAATACATACCATAACAGAAATGAATGCCCAAGATGGAAACTGCCCTAATAAGTGCAAGACAATTAAGAAACCTGAGTTATCTTCCTGATGCTGAACTTTATAAAGTAATGGCATAATTTAGTGTATCACTGATTTTTATTTTTATTTTTCCTGTTTACGGGCTAGTTACAGTACCCCAAAACTTCCTCAGCCAAATGGAAATACAAGGGCCTAACTATATAACTTGTTTAATTATCTTTTTAAGTAAGAACACTCACATGATCTCTGTATATCGAATTCTCCAAGCAGGGAAACCTAGATGGCATCTTGCAGGTCCATAAACTAATAAGAGATCAGGTTCTGGTCCTCTGCAACCTGACATTAGAAAAACATCAGTATCAGAAAGTGAGATATAAAAGTTTAAAAAGAGATAATTTCTTTTAACCAACAAGTAGATCTGACAAGTATCACAAACCGACGGCTGTTAGTGCCTCAGTCATGCGAGCTTCAGTAAAAATTTTCTCTTCCTGAATTTTGTCTGAATCACCCAATTTCAAATACCTCCTAAACAGTAAGTTAGCTGCTTTGGCCACTGCTTCCTTTCCATCAGAGAATGAAGCAAACTCCACACTAATATGTTTATGGTCAAGAAGTGGATTGCTTTGATCAGCTTCCTGAACACAGTAGATAACAAGTTCAGAGTTTCGGAATCAGTGCTTACATCCCAACAGCATAAGTGTACTTTGAAGATAATGCAAATGAGAGTAGCATTATAGCTGATACATAAAAGCTAAATGTAACACCCAGAAGGAATGGCTGTGTAAAGTACTTGTAAGTAAGCAAACCCGTACCCCTAATATCAATATCTGAAGTCAGAAGTATATTTAACACAGATGATACTTCATATAACAACATAGCTCACTCCAACACTACAAAGGTAATAAAGGTCTCAGAAGCTATAAGGGTAGATTAATAAAAGGCTCATCTGCCTGACAGTATCTCTACATATGAGGAAAGTCTATATGTGAAAGGTAAATGAAGGAAGAAAAGGAAATTATGAAATCATACTACATTTACAGTATCTTCGTACCTCAAAAACTGTAGCATTATTCAATTTCACCAAAATGGAATCCTTTGATTTCTTCAGTATTCCTATAAGAAACAAAAACATTAGGAATTATACTATAATCTCAGGGGTGATAAGAATGGAATACCCAATGAAACATGCTTGCAGTTACATAATCACAGAGTAATTCCGATGAATGTCAACTATTATGAAACCCAGGCATTCTTACCTTCAGTATCATAGAGGCACACACGTTTTACACCAAGAGCCACCAACCACTGCAAAAGCTCAATAATTTTCGGAATCTGATAAGCTTCTTCACTTTCTACCACTACGACCAGGTACCGAAGCTTGTTTATATCAAGGGCTTCGTATCTTTTCAGTATTCCAATGGAGATAAGATAGCTTTCTAAGGCACAGATTACTCCCAGTGCAAAGTACCATAAGCTGACAATAAAATGTAGAAAATACCACAATACATGGAGCCCTAGATTGCCAATCTGCAAGAAGCTTAAAAACCAAAATGAAAATCTAATTTAAGTTCAACCAAAAGATGTGACACGATCACACAGATCAAATAACCCCAACCAGCCATTCCATGCTGAGAAACAGCTTAATATAAGACCAATTTGTTAACTCTAAAACAACTAAAAAAAACACTAATTTAACTGTCAATTCCTCTAGACCAGCTTAATACAGAAATTTATGCACTTACTTGAGCAATGAAAGAGTACACCTTATGCATTCCGTCTCTAAAATCCATCAAACTAAACAAAAATAATGACGAAAACATTAAATCAAACAAGAAAGAATTGGAAAAAAAAATACGAAACGAATAAATAAATTGAATTACTTACACCTTTACCAAAAATTCAGAGCAAGTGAATATATACTGAAACAACTGCAAAAGGTATTAGAAATCTTTCAATGTAAAATACCCCGTTGAGATATGGCCACAAGAAGCAAAACCCAGATACAGAATCGAAAACCCAGAACGGGAAAAGGATTAAGAGTGGCTTTATAGGAATTTTATAAATAATGTGAACTGTTTTGAAGGCTTTAAGAAAGCAATTAGTGTAGGAAGGTGAAGTTCTTTGCAAAATGAAGTGATTAACTTGCACTGGCCCACTGGACACACGAATTTAATTAGTCGTCTAATTGAAACATTTGATTTTATAAATAAATTTGAAATAATTTAATTAGATTATATGTATTGCCAAATCAACACCTGGAATCTGATTAAACTTCAGTAATTATAATTTTTTATGATAAAAGAAATTAAATATAGTGAATAACAATTTAATAAATGATTAATTTATATAAACAGAAAAATACAATAAATAGGGTAGTTAATTTTATTTAATAGGGCAGGCACCGTAATTAGATTAGATTAGATTAGCTTAGCTTAGCTTGGGCCTCCTCCCATTAACGAGAGCAATGTTTTAAAACCCAACCTGGGGTAAAACCCGGCAAAGTTGTCGGATCCTGGGTTGATCAGTTTCGGTAACTTTTAAAATTTAGCAAATACATCCCTAAAAATTACCGTTACATCCTTATAGGTTTGAAATTTAGCAAACACACCCCAAATACAAATTGTCTGGCGATTGACTGACGGCAGCGACACCCCAAATGCAACCCCAATCGTCCCTTAAACCCATTCCCCTTAAAATATACCCAAGATCTAGCCGAAATAGGTTTGATTTCGGTCAAATCTCACCGACGCCGGCGTCGACATTCCAGGCCAGATCTCATCAACGCCGGCGTCGACAACCCTCCCCATCACCCAGAAATTACTCTCCTCTTTCTCTCGACCAAAACCCACGTCACCCCACCCCCGTTAGCCTGGCCAATCGCCGATAAAAGTCGGTTGTTACCGCTACCAGTTTTGTTCGATTTCCGGTCGATTTACTCACCGAAAATCAATGTTGTCACCACTATTGCATTCACCAGCAATTTCTCTTCAAAAGCCCTAACATCCCGACCGACAATTGTTTGACAATCATCATCTCAAATCTTAGGGTTTTGAGTGAATAGGAAAAACATAAACCTAACGCGTTGAAGCTTCCGAGTCTTGGTTCAATCGATTAAACTGGCCGGGCTGGGCCAGATTTTAAAACAATGAATGAGAGCAACAACCATTAAATAAGATCAATGAATATTTTATTATTTTAATACATATTAAGTAAGAGGTTAAGTGTGAAGGTATGTTAAAGGGTGAGAGTGAGAGATTATGAAATATATGATTGTACATATCAACTATATGTTCAAAATGTTATGCCCTATCAATGGTAAATGTAGTAACGCAATCTAATTATATTGTTCGTTGCTCGTGCATCAAACTATCGACTGTCAATCATTTTTGGCCTTACCCTAAACGTTGTTATTGTCTAATGAGTACTTTTTGTATCTTACAATGCTTGACTATCAAAAGGAATTGATCATTTTGTTGTCTTTTTCCGCGCAATGCCCTCGATGACTTATAAGGTGTTTAATGAATCCTGATAATTAGTTAAGGTACATACAAATTAACTCGGATACCTCGGTTACCAAAGAAAAAAAGAGTTACTTGGTTTATTTTGACTGTTAACTTTTTCCGGGAAAGATTAATATGTTGGTTTGCTGATTTATTTCTATTTGTTTTTTCAATTCATTTAAAGATGCATTCTGTAGAACTTCATTGTCAAGTCTGTTATCTGATGAACAAACCAATACTTATAATAAGATTAGCCCAAAAATTTTCAAGTAATGGTAGAACTAGAGAGTACAATTGTGCACAATATATTCATAACGATATTTTTTATAATCAGTTTCACTGTAAATTTTATGCAAAACATAGAAGGAACTAACCACCATAAAAAAGTGGAAATCTAATGGGAAAAGCAACAAGGGATTGGACTAAAATTATCAATATGGGAATCCAGTTAATAAAGAGAAATGTTATGAAGAAAGTACCTGTGACAAAAATGGATCAAACAACATAAATGCATAGTGACAGTAGAATAAATAGAACAATAATCAATAACCATGACTAGGGAAGGTGATGAAAATATTGAGAAAAAAATCCTATTTTACTGAAGGCAACGAGACATTAACTGGCATCCACACATTAAAATCGGTACTTTAAGAGAAACAAAAGAGTCTCATCTTTTTCTTGCTTACTGAAGAGACAATTTTCAATCATTTACTCCATTTTAGAGGGACACTGGAAATTTCCTATCATGAAAAGTCATCAAAATACACTATTTTTATCATCAGAGTGCAATAAGTACATCTGTTCTTGGCAAATTCTATCTCCAAGCTAACTCTACGTTCAGAACAATGTAGAGAATAAAATTCATTTTCCAGCACAATCTGTAACAAGTACTGTCTGTTTCGGAGAGAACTATACATAAGTACCTATTGAGCACCATCTTCAGAGAACCTGGTGTCAAAAGGAACAGAAGGATGCACATGCAGTGAACCACCGGCTGTTCCTCCGTTCTGCAACTCAATTACAAGCCACCGAACAGCTTTACTCATCTGCTCCAACCGAACAGCACTTATTGGTGGAAGACCAGTTGTGGCAGCCTGACCTGACTTCCCAACAACAGAGCCAGTGGCCTCATCAACCAAACACTCTGACCCTATCCTTTGCTTTACGGACTCCACAAACTCCTCGGCTTGATCACAAGCCACCCTAAACAATTCCCACCTCTGTTTAAAGTTCTCTAGGGCTGCATCTGTGGCCACTGTTTTCTGGCCACCTGTAGTTTCCTTGGCCTCAAGCACATTAGCAGCCGCTGCAACAAACTCCTTATATGCAGTACTCAAAGCATCTACAATGTTGTCCATCACTACCTACCAGAACTGCAGGTAAATACAAATTCCCTCTCAGACTTGTCGTCACAAGCGTTGAGTGAAAATACCTAACAAAAAATCCACACTGATCATATTGTATATCCCCTAAATTGCAAAACAAAATCTAAACTAAATGAGATAGAAGCAGCACAAAATCCGGTACGGCTAGTCAAGTGATCACCTAGGCTTGCAGGCATCAATGCCCGAGGTTCCCAAATTCTGAAAGACTGTGAATTAGGCAACCCCTAGTTCCAAACTAAATTTCACTGAGCAAGTTTGAAGAATTTCTGGGTCACAAAATTATTTAAAAAATAATAATAACAATAAACAGCATACAAGATACAACTACAAAACTATACTCATTCTCAATCCTCTAATTCATTTAATGGCATAACCTAGATTGTCAAACTCGAGGTGAAAGTCAAAACAATTCATCCCAAATCAAATTTCAAGCTCAAATACGATTCCTAAGCGGAAAAAATAACAGGAAGTGCAAACATTTAAGAATGAATGTTAAGACAAAACTTCTATGTATCAAAATATGAAATAAACAGAAGCTCGAGCTGAAGAATAAGTTCTAACAAAGACCTAAAAATGAATTAGTCGAGATGTTTAGTAGATTCAAACAAAATGAGTAAATTAAAAGTAGAAAAACAAAATTAAAAAAATACCTTCGCCGGAGATAATTATGCGATTACAGTAATCTGTGAGCTATGGACAGAAAGAACCGAGATGAGAACTAGAACGGCCGAGAATGGCACGCAGCATCAGAGGATCTGGGCTGGGCTAACTTTTTGAGGCCATACAATTACAATACAGTTGATTCTAAATAACGCCAATTTACTTGCTGAAAAGCCCTCCTTCCTTGTTTAAACGAGGGTAAAATTGTCATAAAATAAAAACTTGATCGGCATCATGTACGGATAAATAATTGGAAGAGCACATACAATCATACATACTGATATACCATTGCTAAATGACATTTTTGGGTCTGAAGACTTAATTGGGAGACAGTATTATATTCTTAGAGTAATGCAACAGTCACCGACGATAATGTACCGAATTTATATACCAAATGACGTGGTAAAATCCTGATAGTTGATTAATATTAAGTTAAAATTAATCAACGATCGGGATTTTGTTACGTCATTCAGTGTATTACTGTCGGTGACTGTATTATTTTTCATATTCTTATTGGATATAGAAGATGGACAAAGTTTTAATTAATGTAGCATTCTTATTCCTCTATCTTCATATCCTTCCATACAAATCTATACCATTTATATTATTTTGAATTTATTAAACTGAAATAAGATTTAGAAAAATCTATAATACTGTTTTTTTAATATAAAAAAAAAAAAAAGCCATAGAAAAATCCGAAATTAGCATATAGTTTTTACATATCCGAAATTATATATTATTTTATGAAAAATCGGAAATGCATATCTAAAATATAAATTAGAATTTACCCAAACATGGGTAGCCAGTAGTTAGGGGTATTAGAAAAAAAAATGTAAAAACTGAACTGAACCTTCGAAAATCGATTTTCCAGGGTTTAGTTTCGGTTCAGAGAAATACAAAAACTGATTTTCCGGTTAGGCTACTGCTTTACAAGATTATGAGAACCAGTTAACCAAAACTGGTTTACTATAAAAATAATAAAATATAAAATCAAAACATATAAACCGGTTTATTATAAAAATAATAAATTATAAAATAAAAACAATAAAACTGGTTTATTATAATATAAAACCGATTTAAATTAGGGAAAAATCAAATAAAAAATAAGTTAAAAGAGAAAACTAGTTCAAAACCGATTAACCAAAAAACTGTTTTTCCCCTTTCTTGAACCCAAAAGCTGATTTGGTATGAATACCCTTATCAGTAGTAAATGTGAACTAATGGAACTGTGTATGGCTTCAACCCACAGTTCTAGGTCCGGACACTTCAATTAACAAAAACAAAAAATATGAATTAAAATCCTATTTAGTTCACAAAGAAATCTATTTGGTCTTAATCTTAAAAGAGTTTTCAAATTTGAAATTCGAGATTTTAAATACAATCCCACAACATATAACTTTTATTTTCTTTGAATTTTAAAATCATATCAAAAATATCTATAGGTGATATTCAAATTTATTTATTTATTTTTAAATAGAAAATTACATTAATATTTCAAATAATTAGATTCACTGAATTGAATTTAAATATGCTCTTACCTCGAGAAATTGGTTTTAATTACATGCCTTTGGACATTGCAGAAATATAAAGAAATTAAATATAAATAATAATAATAATTTTAGATGCTTGGAGATAAAATTTAACAAACAGTTCAAATGGAAATAGATTTCTTCAGTCCCAGTTTGTAATTATCAAAATCAAATATAAAAGAATGAACTTATCAGATTGTGCCAGCTCAGCATATAATAAGACAAAAGAGTGTCAGCACAAAAGATTCGAATGGTGCGGCACGTAGATGATTGTGTCCCTTGAAAAGGGGAATCCATCCGGTGCAAAACTAACCACCAAGAGGGGGTGAACAAAAGGCAATGGCCATGAGGGAACAAACAAAAGAACAATCTGCAAGAATTTGAATAGTCCTTTTCGAATTTAAAGCAGCTCTCATCCAAACCCAACTTCCTAAATCCAATCTGTTTCCCCTTTTTTTTTTTTGTTCATTCCAGAAAATCTCTCTGTTATCCTTTCTAAAACCCTAATCTGTTTTTTTTTAGCGCCACCACATGACCAACGAAGACGACACGAAGAAGAACTGTAGCGACGTCCATGAAAACGTCAACCGAAAGAGAAAGAACAGCACCAACAGCAACGGCAAAGGCAACAATACCGAATACCAGAACTCAAAGAAGGTTAATCACAACACAAAAATAACCATGGGGCAAGAAGAAGAAGATGAAGAGAATATGCTCTCTCTTTCTCTCTCGCTTTGTCCCACAAACCTATACGGAGATCCCAGAACAAGAATCTTCACCATTGCCATCAGAACCTTTAGATTCTTTTCCAGTACAAGCCGCAACTGCACATCCACTTCAACTGTCGCCAACGCACGCCATTTACGTCTCCTCGTTAACGAGACCACCCTTTTACCCATGTGCCGTCACCAAGAACCGGCTACCCAAAAGCCGTTCGTCTTCGAAGGAACCCGACACAGGCGCCCGGCGAAGGAAAAGGCGAGACGGTGCCAGCCCTATTCCCGTGGGCCACAACGAAACGTGCCACGGTGCAGAGTTTCAATATTTGGTGGCAAAGAATATAACCACCATAAGCGGTGACGTGCAGTGCAAGAAATGCGAGCAACAGTACAAGATGGAGTATGATTTGCGGGAGAAGTTTCTCGAAGTGTGGAGTTTATCGCAGACAATAAGAGTAGTATGCATGACAGGGCTCCCAATGTGTGGATGAACCCCGTGTTGCCGACGTGCAAATTTTGTGGACAAGAGAACAGCGCCAAGCAGTGATTCCACTGAAGAAGAAGCAGATGAATTGGTGTTTTTGCTTTTGGGACAATTGTTGGGTTGCTGTACGCTCGATCAGTTGAAGTATTTCTGCAAGCATACCAAGAATCATCGAACTGGGGCTAAAGATCGTGTTCTTTATCTTGCGTATCTCGGCCTGTGCAAGCAACTTGATCCCAAAGGCCCTTTTGATCGCTGAGATTGATCAAACTTTTCAACGTTAGTGATCATATCGATCTTTTTTTTTTTTTTTTTTTTTTTTTTTTCACATCTCTTGATTATTGTCTAGGCAGTTCTTAGAATCTTTACTTTGTGAATGAAACAGTTGCAAGTTTTGATTAGAAAGACTGTTAAATTCTGAATATTCTACTCATTATTTGGACTGTGATGTACTGCCTCTGCTCGGCCTCACTTTATTTGTGTAGGTGCGCATATTTTCAGGTTGAGGCTTGACTGCAGCAAGAGACTTGTTTATTTCTATCTGATTTATAGTGTTCGATGAAATTATCAAAGCGTTAATTAAATGGCTTAATTTCAGTTATGCCAGTTCATTTATCTACAGCTTGACGTGACCAAGGTCAATAACCAGTGATTTGTGCAGTCCAATATTATCCTCTTCCCTTTTACATCATTTTTTTTTTTTTGTGGTAACACGGGTGTTCGAGTCCATTTGAGCGCACCTTAATAATGAACAATCCTCCTTGGCAGTTGGTTTTTTTTTTTTTTTTATGATCGAGGTTATTTGGGCCAGTTTCACGCACCTCAATTAATTTCTAAAGGCCTTGAAGTTGACAGTCAGTTAAATCTAACAATTCCTAAGTGGATCCAACTAGAACTTCTTCAATAATACATACAAGAGTCTTAATTGACCGTTGGCCAGTTTTGGGATTACTCTTACATTACATTTATGACTACCAATGAAAATGTTATTTCAGTTATTTACACAGACAATTATCTTCTATATGAGGGTGTGGCTAAGGGTGCATTTAGTTTATTATTTCATACCCTATTCTCAATCATATTCCCAAAATATTTGTTTGTTTAATTATTTAGGAAATAATATTATATTTTTTTAATTATTTTTAGACCTCTTAAGTTTATTAATTTCATTAAATACCCTAGGAAAAAAAGTTTAAAAATTAACAAAAATACTCAAACCCACCAATAGTTGCCAGATTCTGGCAACCACTGTCAATGGTAGCTGGAATCTGTTACAACGGCCTACAAACGATTGGAACTGGCCGGTAATTCATCGATCTGGCTTTTTTCGGTCAGATCCATGATCAGAAAAGGCCAGAGCCACGCATGTCTGGTCAAATTGACCGGTCTACATCGTAACGCCAGATTTCGACTAGATTCCGAAGGTAGTGGCCATAATCTGGCATTGTGGATGGGTGAGAGTATTTTTGTCATTTTATAAAAAAATTATATATTAGAGTGTTTAGTTAAATTAACGAACTTAAAGAGTTTTTTAATTAATTTTTAAATTTTATCTAATAATAATCACTCCATTTAATTATTCAATATTATTTCTAAAATCCAACCCAAAATAAAAGACAAACAACCCTAAAGAATTCTACTGTAATTCCTTAGGCAAAGTCAAACAGACAGTAGAATTTGTCGACACTGCATTGGGTACTCAACATATCGCACCAGCAGCATTGTCATTATCACTACTAATTAAAAGAAAAGGACCTTTCATAATAAATTAACATAAAGTGCTTTCTTTTTATCAAACAAACACATACGTGTTAACATCATTTTTTTTTTAATAATTATAATTATTATTCTAATTATAAAGAAGCATAGGCCAGCCGAGATTCTTTCTTTTAGCTTTCGTTACATTACCATTTCAAATATCAAAGGCACGTGACTCACCACAACTAACCATTTTTTTTTTTTTTTTTTTAGAGTAAACTACTATTTTCCACCCAAGGTTTATCTTAATAACACTTTTCTACCTAACAAGTTTTAAAATATCACTTTTTCATATAAAGTTATTATTCTATTATTATCCAAAACCGATTCTAGTCAATTCCAAAAGCAAAAACTCTCTCCGTCATCACCTTTTGAACATCTGGTTCTCTTTTTACAAAAACCCTTTCACTCAAATACCTAGTTTCTCATCGATTGTTGACCACCATAAAGTTAGGGTTTATTGGTCATAGATGATTTTCAGTTGATTTTAACATCGAATATTTAATCGGTTATCATCATTCGATTCATCGGCCTCTATTCTACAAAAACACTCTCATCCTGACTCCTAATAACTCGTCCAACGTTAATTGAGAAAGTGAAGTGTATTTGGGTATTAACAAAATCAATAATATTTTGCTTATAATTGAGTTATACAACTAGATAAAAATTACACAAAATTTCTATAAAATGACTATTTTTTTTTTTGTTTGTCTGGTTGTTTGATTTAGTTGTAAGAATAGTAATGCTCTAATGGAATATAAAGGTTGGGTGAGAAAATGGTATTTTGAAATTTTTTGGGTGGAAAAACTTTATAGGCAAACCTTGGGTGGGAAAAAGTCATTTACTCTTTTTTTTTTTTTTTTTTTTAATTTACAGCTTAGCTCTGCGAGTCAACTCACCGTATATCGCACAATTACATTCCATTTACGGTGATTTTTTTTTTTTTTTTTTTAATTTACAGCTTAGCTCTGCGAGTCAACTCACCGTATATCGCACAATTACATTCCATTTACGGTGACGGATTAACAGAGGCACGATGTGAGAGGCGCCAGAAAGAAGAAACAATTACAATGAACACACGGATTTCATTACAATATTACATATATTAAAGCAGAGAAACAAAAACCAGTGATTTGTGCAGCAATAGTATCCTCTTCCTTTTACATCATTTTTTTTTTTTTTTTTTGTTTTCGAATTTAAAGCAGCTCTCATCCAAACCCAACTTCCTAAATCCAATCTGTTTCCACTTTTTTTTTTTTGTTCATCTACAGAAAATCTCTCTGTTATCACTTTATCTAAAACCCTAATCTAGTTTTTTTTTTAGCGCCACCATCATGACCAACGAAGACGACACGAAGAAGAACTGTAGCGACGTCCATGAAAACGTCAACCGAAAGAGAAAGAACAGCACCAACAGCAACGGCAAAGGCAACAATACCGAATACCAGAACTCAAAGAAGTTTAATCACAACAACAAAAATAACCATGAGGGGCAAGAAGAAGAAGATGAAGAGAATATGCTCTCTCTTTCTCTCTCGCTTTGTCCCACAAAACCCATACGGGAGATCCCAGAACAAGAATCTTCACCATTGCCATCAGAACCTTTAGACTCTTTTCCAGTAACAATGCCGCAACTGCCACATCCACTTCAACTGTCGCCAACGCACGCCATTTACGTCTCCTCGTTAAACGAGACCACCCTTTTACCCATGTGCCGTCACCAAGAACCGGCTACCCAAAAGCCGTTACGTCTTCGAAGGAACCCGACACAGGCGCCCGGTGAAGGAAAAGGCGAGACGGTGCCAGCCCTATTCCCGTGGGCCACAACGAAACGTGCCACGGTGCAGAGTTTCAATTATTTGGTGGCAAAGAATATAACCACCATAAGCGGTGATGTGCAGTGCAAGAAATGCGAGCAACAGTACAAGATGGAGTATGATTTGCGGGAGAAGTTTCTCGAAGTGTGGAAGTTTATCGCAGACAATAAGAGTAGTATGCATGACAGGGCTCCCAATGTGTGGATGAACCCCGTGTTGCCGACGTGCAAATTTTGCGGACAAGAGAACAGCGCCAAGCCAGTGATTCCACTGAAGAAGAAGCAGATGAATTGGCTGTTTTTGCTTTTGGGACAATTGTTGGGTTGCTGTACGCTCGATCAGTTGAAGTATTTCTGCAAGCATACCAAGAATCATCGAACTGGGGCTAAAGATCGTGTTCTTTATCTTGCGTATCTCGGCCTGTGCAAGCAACTTGATCCCAAAGGCCCTTTTGATCGCTGAGATTGATCAAACTTTTCAACCGTTAGTGATCATATCGATCTTTTCTTTTTTTTTTTTTTTTTTTTTCACATCTCTTGATTATTGTCTAGGCAGTTCTTAGAATCTTTACTTTGTGAATGAAACAGTTGCAAGTTTTGATTAGAACAGACTGTTAAAATTCTGAATATTCTACTCATTATTTGGACTGTGATGTACTACTGCCTCTGCCTCGGCCTCACTTTATTTGTGTAGGTGCACATATTTTCAGGTTGAGGCTTGACTGCAGCAAGAGGACTTTGTTTATTTCTATCTGATTATAAAGTATTCGATGAAATTATCAAAGCGTTAATTAAATGGCTTAATTTCAGTGATGCCAGTTCATTTATCTACAGCTTGACGTGACCAAGGTCAATTACCATTATCTCCTGTGATTTGTGCAGTCCATATATATCCTCTTCCCTTTTACATCACATTCTTTTTTCGGGTAACCGGGTGTTCGAGTCCATTTGGACGTAACTTAGTAATGAGCAATCCTCTTCCACGGTTGTTTTTTTTTTTTTTTTTTTTTTTTTTTTTTTTTTTCGTGATTGGAGGTGTTTAGGCTAGCTTGTATATACCTCAATTAATTTCTCATAGTCTTAAAGTTGATAGCTAGATAAATCTAACCATTCCCAAATGGATCGAACTAAAACCTCTTGAGTAATAAATCTAAAAGTCTTAATTAACCACTGGCCATTTAACTAGGTTTTGGGGTTGAATTTACATTATATTTATCGCTGCCAAAATATTATTTCAGTTATTTACATAGACAATTATCTTCTATATAGAGCAATGCTAAAGTTATCAACGAATACATACTGAATTTATGTACTGAATAATATGGTATAATCTTGACTGTCGATCAGTATTAATTCATAATTAATTAATAATTAAGATAGTACCATATCATTCGATGTATGAATTCGTTGTACATTATTGAGTAACTGGGTGCGTTTGGTTTAGTATTTTGGATAGGATTTTAGGGATAGTATTGGGTTATTGGATAGGGGAGTATTACGAGGTAAATTTTAAAAATTTTTGAAAAAGCCCTAAGGTTTACTAATTTAACTAAAGACCCTAGCATATAAAATGACAAAAACACCCCCACCACCTACAGTATCAGATTCCGGCCACCACCGCCGGAATCTGGTCGAAAAATTTCGTTACGGCAAAGACCGATCGGATCTGTGCCGTAACACGTCGTTATGGCCTTTTCCGGCCAGATCCATGGTGGATCTGGCCGGAAAAGGCCAGATCTACGGTCTGTTATGGCCGTCGACGGCCGGAAAAGGCCAAACGAGGGCCATCGACGGCCAAAGATGTGGCCGTCGTTTTCGGTCAACGAGGGCCATTTCTTTGGCCGTCGCTGACGGCCAGATCTGGCCTTTTTCGGCCAGATCCGTGGTGGATCTGGCCGGAAAAGACCACAGCGGTGAACTTTCGGCTATTTCTGGTCTGAAGTTAGGCTGTTTGTACAGATTCTGGCTATCACCAACAGTGCTTGCCGGAATCTGACAAGTTGGGTTGATGGGGGTTTTTTGTTAATTTTTAAACTTTTTTCAGGAGGTATTTAGTGAAATTAATAACTTTATGGGGTTAAAAATAATTAAAAAAATAGGGTAATATTTCTGGAATAGTATGCTAAATATTATTTGAAGAATAGGATCCAGAATAGGGATAAAATATTAAGCCAAACATGCAGTATATTATTTTCCCTTCGGTATAAGGGTGTGGCAAAAGAATTCTACTGTAATTGCTTAGTCAAACAGACAGTAGAATTTGTCAACCTGATGAGCCCACCTCACTGCATTGGGTACTCAACATATCGCACGAGCAGCATTGTCATTATCACTACTAATTAAAAGAAAAGGACCTTTCATAATAAATTAACATAAAGTGCTTTCTTTTTATCAAACAAACACATACGTGTTAACATGATTTTTTTTTTTAATAATTATAATTATTATTCTAATTATAAAGAAGCATAGGCCAGCCGAGATTCTTTCTTTTAGCTTTCGTTACATTACCGTTTCAAATATCAAAGGCACGTGACTCACCACAACTAACCATTTTTTTTTTTTTTTTTTTGTTTTAGAGTAAACTACTATATTCCACCCAAGGTTTATCTTAATGAACCTTTTCTACTTAACAAGTTTTAAAATATCATTTTTCACACAAAGTTATTATTATTCTATTACTATCCAAAGCCAATTCTAGTCGATTCCGAAAGCAAAAACTCTCTCCGTCATCACCTTTTGAACCTCTGGTCCCCTTTTTACAAAAACCCTTTTACTTAGACACTTAATTTCTCATCGATTACTGACCACTATCAAGTTAAGGTTTATTGTTCTTAGATGATTTTCGGCTGATTCCAGAATCGAATATTTAATCGGTTACCACCATTCAATTCATCGGTCTCTACTCTACAAAAACGCTCTTACCCTGACTCCTAGCAATTCGTCGAACGCTAGTTGAGAAAGTGAAGTGTATTTGGGTATTAACAAAATCAATAATATTTTGCTTACAATTGAGTTATACAACTAGATAAAAATTACATAAAATTTATGTAAAATGACTATTTTGTTTTTTGTCTGGTTGTTTGATTTAGTTATAAGCATAGCAATGCTCTAATGGAATATAAAGGTTGGGTGAGAAAATGGTATTTTGAAATTTTTTGGGTGGAAAATTTATAAGGCAAACCTTGGGTGGGAAAAAGTCATTTACTCTTTTTTTTTTTTTTTTTTAAATTTACAGCTTAACTCTCCGAGTCAACTCACCGTATATCACACAATTACATTCCATTTACGGTGACGGATTAACAGAGGCACGATATGAGAGGCGCCAGAAAGAAGAAACAATTACAATGAACACACGGATTTCATTACAATATTACATATATTAAAGCAGAGAAACAAAAACGACTTGTCACACACAACACTCGATGAATTATTTAGAGAAAATGAGCGACAATTTTGATTCTTTAAACCCTAATATTATATCATAATTTCTTAATTTCTTTTCCCTCTGCATTTGATTTATTTATTTATTAATTTTTTGTAAATTTCCTCTTCTTGTGATGGAGGCATTGATCGAGCTGTGCGATCTGATCGCGCAGAATCCGAAGCAATTCTCCGATAAACTCGGGTGGATTTGCAACCGGTGTCCACAGCCTGACTTGCTTTTGTCCGGATCCCCACGCGTTTCTCGTTCTCATCTCAATGCCGTACTGGCCGTAGCTCGGTTTCTGTCGAAATGTGGGGAAGAGCCCGAGTCACGTGCTAAATCTGTGGTGCTCGAGTTCTTCCGTGCCATTCCGTTGTCGTTTCACCGCTCGTTCTGGCCTCAGGCGTTCAGTAGTGACTCAATTTTGTCTTTCTTTACGGATTTCTTAGGCTACTTGTCGCAATCCACCGGTGTCTCCCCCGATTTCGTGGCCGATATTGCCGCGGTAGCCGGAGAGGTGGTTTTGGCAGCAATTAACTGCAACATGGCCGAAGATTCGGGGGTTTCTAGAGCGTTTCTGTTGGCTTTGTCGAGAAATTTCCCGCCAATTCTAGCTTCAGATGCGAATACAGTGGTGACGTGTCTCTTTGATCAGTTTGCAGTACCAATTCCGGCTTCACCGAGAGAACAAATGATAATTAACTCAGAAACGTCGTCGTCTCAGAGCTCACCGATAATTTTAAACCACCTTCAGCTGCAGCTCAGTAGCAATAACGAGAGCGAGTCAAGTCCAGGAAATGAGGTGACCAGCCACATTTCGGTGTCGAGTGTGTCAATCAATGGTGGGGGAAGCATATTTGGTGGAGTGAATGATGTACCACAAGTCAGGCAACAGGTTGCTTCATACGAGGAAGAACCCGTTGAGAGCTTGGAGAAGCAGGAGATTGCATTTAAATTGATCACACATATTTTGGATAAAGTACAGATTGATTCCAAGCTTTTGGAGCAGGTTAGGTTTATTGCGAAGAAGCAGCTCCACTCCTTATGTGCTTTTATGAAGGTAAAAGTATTGTAGATAATTTTCAGTGATACCATGTGTGATTTATTGTATGTGTAGGTATAAGTAGAGAATTCAATTCTTGGTGCATTGTGCAGGAAGTGTTAATTACTGAACTTGCTGAAGAGAAATTGCATTCTGCTGATAAGATGTTTTATTTCATGTTAATATGTAGGTATAAGTGGAAAAATCAATATGTATGAATTGCATTCTGGTGATAAGATGTTTTATTTCATGCTAATGTGTAGGTACAAGTGGAAAAATCATAGTGCATTGTTTAGGAAATGTTCTTTATAAAAGAAAAGCTTAGATGTGATTAATTTTGATGTGAAAAAGTTTGTTTTATTTTTTATGTGGATAAATCTAGATTACTCCCAGTACTTTGTATTGGAAAAGTTAATTATTGAACTTATTGATGAGAAACAGAAGAGAGAGGGTTTGCATAGATTGTGAAATGTATACGAAACGTGGAAAGTTTAATGTATCAAACAGATAGTTGTTAAGAAGTTAAATTTGTTTTGTCAATATTCTATGAGAGAAGTTAAATTTTGATATTGTAAAGAAAGTGTTTATTAAAGTTATGTTGGTTGCGTGGGCAGATAAGGAAGCGGGACTGGAATGAACAAGGGCCACTTTTGAAAGCCAGGATAAATGCAAAACTATCTGTTTATCAATCTGTGGCTAGGTTGAAAATTAAGAGCCTTGCATCTCTTGATCCAAATGGGAAAAACTCTAAAAGGTTGGTCCTTGATGCTCTTGCATCGCTTCTAGATGCTGCTGAAGCATGTTTGCTCTCTGTATGGAGAAAGCTGAGAGTTTGTGAAGAGCTGTTCAGTTCACTGCTTGCGGGGATTGCACAGATTGCTGTTATTAGGGGAGGTCAGCTGCTCCGTGTTTTACTCATTCGCTTCAAGCCCCTTGTGCTAACTGCATGTGCACAGGTATAATTCATTTATGATTTCTTATTCTTGTGCTAACTGCATGTGTGCAGGTATAGATTATTGATGGGTTTTGATTTTTTCTTGCCAGTTGCATGTGCACAAGTGTAAACTATGGATCCGTTTTGATTTTGTATAATGGTGCAAAGTTAAACTTCATTTTTGTATATCATAAATAAGTATTTCTTTATTTTTTTAATTATTTGATCTTGTTTTCTTAATACTATGTATGATGTAATTGTAGCCCCAAGGTGATACTTGGGGCAGCAGCCGAGGAGCCATGTTTGAGAGTATTATGAAGACAAGTTGTGAGATAATTGAATCTGGCTGGACCAAGGACCGGGCACCTGTTGACACATTTATCATGGGATTAGCTACAAGTATTCGTGAACGAAATGATTATGATGACCAGGTTGCTTCAATGATTCTGTTTACCCCCTTCTTTATTTTTATATAGATGGTAATTTTAATTTTGTAATTTGGATTGTGTTGTTAACTACCTTTCCATGCTTACTCAACCAAACTTATTTCAGGTTGATAAAGAGAAACATCCGGTTCCTCCTCTGCAGCTTAATCTTATACGCTTGCTCACTGATTTGACTGTTACTGTTAACAAGTCTGAAGTGGTAGACATGATATTGCCACTTTTTGTTGAGAGCTTAGAAGAGGGTGATGCTTCAACTCCTAGTTCATTGCGACTTCGAGTATGAAACCTTTGTCTTTAGAGCATCTCTTTGTGATTACTTACTTTGCGTCCTGTATCTATTTGTTTTGCTCTATGTTGGTTATTGACCCAATATTTGTGGCTGTTGGTTCTTTGATTTTGTTGCATGGTTTCTCAACCTCCTCCCTAATTTACTGCAGCTTCTTGATGCTGTGTCTCGCATGGCAAGTTTAGGTTTTGAGAAGTCTTATCGTGAAACAGTTGTTCTGATGACAAGAAGTTACTTGAGTAAGCTATCAAGTGTTGGATCTGCTGAAAGCAAAACAATGCCAGCCGAAGCCACTGCAGAACGTGTTGAGGTAATATTGTGTCATTAAGATATGAAATATATGTGATACTGTTGCTGGCTTGACAGTTAATCCGATTAAATGGTTGCTAACTGCTTCAATTGTACTGTAGACTCTACCTGCTGGATTCCTTCTGATTGCTAGTGGTCTTAAGAATCCCAAATTGCGTTCAGACTATCGTCATCGTTTGCTATCTTTATGCTCTGATGTAGGGCTGGCTGCTGAGTCTAGAAGTGGGAGGTAAGATAAATTTGTTTCTAGTTTGTTTTGTAGTGGCTAGTCATATTTGAGCTATTCAGATATCTCCAATTGATTTATAAGTATCCATGCACTCTTCTGGAGGCTAGTCATATTTTGCTTTTTATACATTTTGTTGCCTCACTGTGTTGTATGTTTGGACATTTCACATTCAATACTCCTAACTAACTGCTGCAGGAGTGGAGCAGATTTTTTGGGGCCTCTACTTCCTGCTGTTGCTGAAATATGTTCTGATTTTGATCCTACTGTAGATGTGGAACCATCACTTTTGAAGTTGTTTCGCAACTTGTGGTTCTATATTGCTCTTTTTGGTTTAGCACCTCCCATACAGAAATCTCAACCACTAGCAAAGTCGGTTTCCACTACACTGAACAGTGTGGGAAGCATGGGTGCAATTCCTCTTCAAGCAGTTGGTGGGCCGTACATGTGGAATGAACTGTGGTCTTCTGCTGTTAAACGGATTGCTCAAGGAACTCCGCCCCTTGTAAGAAGATGCAAATTTATTTCAATGTTTTTTTTTTTTTTTTTTTTTTTTTTTTTTTTTTTTTTTTTTTTTTTTTTTTTTTTTTTTTTTTTTTTTTTTTTTTTTTTTTTTTTTTTTTTTTTTTTTTTTTTTTTTCATTTTCATTTGCTGTAAGATTTCTCTTCTCGCATGAATGTGCAATCTGTCTTTGATTTTCCATCATTAGAATATCCTCCTTTATGTCTTATGCCTATGTTATTATTTAATGTACTTGTGAAAAGTTGGAAATATTGAAGTCTTTGCGAAGCATAATTTTCAGACAATGTCTGTTGATTGGCTAGCTGCTGCTTGCAAAGTATTTGGTGGGAGTCACCTGAGATTTTGAAGCCTTGAGTTTGGCAACATATGTTAGAAATAGCTATCTATTGAAACAAGCCTACTAGATGTCAAGGGTTAGAATTTTGCACATATCTATATATCCATATTAGCTGTGGTCAATTAATTAACGCAATTGTAAAATTCTCCAAAAATTTTTATTTTTTCCACATAAAGTTAGTTTTGGTTATCGTGAAAAGGATTAACCTAATTTGTTGAGTTTATGACTATAAGCAAATAAAAAGTTCCCTCGGACTATGTGGAAATTACTAGAAAGGCAAATGTAAATCAAATAGTAGAACTTAATAAAATTACAAAGTGTGTTTGTACAGATTAGTAATGGGACCTAGGAACCCCAATGGAGGCGATGAATTATCTTATCCTTTGTTCCCAATCAAGGGTTAGAAGGTTAGATCCCCTTGAGATCACCGACCTAGAGCATTTAATCTCATGGATTTTCCTGACCTTTAGAACTTGTAAGGTCTGACAAGAGTCCTAGTTTTTGTCTCAATACACAAGGTAGTAAGGCTGATGAGTTTCTGAATACCTAAAACAATAAATGACCGCAACCTTTGAGTTTGTGGATATTCAACTTCTGCTTTTCTGATATGCCCAAGTGGACGATGTAGCTGAATTGATGCATGTGCTGGAGGCACTTCAGTGTTAGAAAATCTTAGATTAGGATACTTGTAATTTACTAGAATTTTGAAGGAAGACCTTGCCACAGTTCTCTTAGAAAGAACTTCTCGATGCCTGTATTGTGTCCTTCAAATCAGTATGCTGTTATGGATATCATTATGATTTAGTTTTCATCATTCTTCAAGAGCTTGAACTTGTGCTTTCTTCTAGTGTTTGGAGAAGCTTTGCAGCATTTTGCATGCCTTAGTATTGTTTTGTCTCAAAAGCTTGATGGAAAGGGCATTGTTCTCTAAGACTCTAACAAACCCTCTCACTTGCTTGGTTGAATCTAATTAATGTACTTGTCTCATGCATCGAACAATAGTTTCAACTATTCTGTGTCGTAGTTAAGTTGGTGGAATGAGGGGATTCAAACACAGTCAACCTGGCTTGACTGCAGTGTCGAGAAAATGTGAATTCCAAGAGTTTAAACTTATTATAGGACTCAGCTACAGTATTTAAAGTCTGTTTAAGTATTTTAGCCTCTTGTGAAATTGGAACAGCCTTCTGAAGTTCAAAATTAAAGTCTTACTATTTGATGCCTAGACTAAGCTTAGCCATTTCCAAATTATACTTCGGTTAGGGAGGCTCAATCTTCTTGGATTAGTTAGTTGACTGCACCATTTTGTTATGAAAGTTGACTTCGCATTCATGAATATACTTATTCTCCCTGGACTGGCCTTGTCAACTCAACCTGAATTTATATAATTATTATTAAAATGGACGATCTGTTTGTGTTTTATTACAGCGAAATGATCTCAAACCATATCTGAAATTGAAGTTGTAACATGACGGTTGGGTTTTCCAGGTTGTCAGTTCAGTGAAATGGCTTGAAGATGAGTTGGAACTCAATGCTCTTCATAACCCTGGCAGTCGTCGAGCGAATGGCAATGAGAAAGCAGCTGGAACCCAAAGAACAGCTCTTTCTTCTGCTTTAGGTGGACGAGTTGAGGTTGCAGCAATGAGCACAATTTCAGGTTAAGTGGGCTTCTTAGCATTTCTGCAGCATTAAATGTGATGTTCAGTAAATGTATATGCGAGTTGAACTGTTTGGTAGAATTTTTCAGTTCCTATGGTCTTGAATTAATTTTTGATGTTTATTCAACAGTATACTTATTTTTAAGAACCAAAATAAACTTGAATTAAATGTAATGAGATATAGGAAAGGGTGAACACGCATGTTCACAAAGCCTGGACTAAGTGTCTCCTAAACCTTAAAAGGGTGACAGAGGAAGCAGTCAATAATCGACCGAATGCTGCATCCTCAGGAGACCTAAAAACAACAAAAGTAGACTGAACTCTCAAATGAAATCACATTGCCCTTAGAAAATCATTAAATATATTAAATATTGCTTCTTGTTTGATATATGAATAACAATGGCAGTGGTTATTTGTTTTACAGGAGTGAAGGCGACCTATCTTCTTGCTGTTGCTTTTCTCGAGATTATACGCTTCAGCAGCAATGGTGGCATCCTTAATGGTGGCACTAGTTTGACTGCCTGTAGAAGTGCTTTCAGTTGTGTCTTTGAATACCTGAAAACCCCAAATCTTATGCCATCTGTCTTCCAGTGTTTGAATGCAATTGTGCTCAGGGCTTTTGAAACTGCAGTTTCGTGGCTGGTATGTTTTTTTTTATTTATATGAAGTTTTTGGAGCCCTTTTCTTTTTGTCTTCACATGTAGGGAAGATTCATGTATTGGGGGGATAATATAGGGCCATAGGAGTACAGATCTTGCATCATGTTGTCAAAACTAAACTAGACTAACGGATATACTCTGTTATCTCTCTATTTGTATCTGCATTAGCTTTTGTGAGATATGCCTATCAGTAAGTTTTCCTCATTGTCTCAAGGCCTAGCCTTTGTTTCACAACTACTCCAAGGCTTGCTTAATTATTTTCATTAAGCTCAAATGTTGCTGTCTTATATTTAATTGTTTTCTCATTAAACTGTTATTTCTCTTATTGTGGTGAAGGCCAACTTAAGGGTAACTATTTTCATTAAGAACATTTGCTGCTTTTGTTGTATTTTATTTTTTTTTCTTTTGAACTGTTGTTGCTCTTAGTGTGCAAGGGCCAATTCTAGTGTTTTGAGTAGCATGACTACAATACCAATGATCTTTGATTCATATGGGATATAGTTTCTTCCACTGTACAATGCCCTATACTACTTTTATTAATTAATTGGTGTTGAAACATTGATATATTTTCTTGGTTAGTTTTTACTATACGCTTAAAATGTCGAAAACAAATTTTACTCTTATATACTGCTCATAATATAAAATTTGATTAATATACTTATAAAACACAAAGTTAAAATTTCTCATATGTATCCTGAGGCTTAAACCTCCATGATGTTTTCTAGGGACATGTGCTTGGTATTTCTTGTATAATTTTTTTTTTTTTTTGGTGATTATTTTCTCTTATGAAAATAAGAAATAATCCAATAACATCTCATGGATGGGTTCTAGTAAATGACATCGATTAATTCATAGTTTCTTGTTGAATGACTTATGCTTTAGACAGCTTATAGGACACTAGAGATGTATTCTACCTTTTCCTTAAAATATGATGTTGGTTGCTGTTCTCTTTCTCTTTACTATATGGACGACACTGATTTTTTTTTTATTTTGGAACAGGAAGAGCGAACATCAGAAACAGGCAGTGACGCTGAGATCAGAGAATCTACTCTATTTGCACATGCCTGTTTTCTCATAAAAAGTATGTCCCAGAGGGAGGAACACATTCGGGATATTTCTGTTAACTTGTTAATCCAGCTTAGAGATAAGTTTCCTCAGGTAAAAGGATATCACTGATACTCTTCTCTCGATCAATTAATTGTTTTGTTTTTGTCTTCTTCGTTTGTCCGTAAAATTGAAAACCTGAATTACATGCATGCAGATTTTGTGGAATTCGTCTTGTCTAGATTCCCTGCTATTTTCAGTTGATAGTGGCACACCTGGCGTTATCAATGATCCTGCTTGGGTAGCAACTGTTCGTTCTTTGTATCAGAGACTAGTACGAGAATGGGTTATCATATCTCTTTCATATGCTCCTTGCACTACCCAAGGCCTGCTTCAGGTTGACAACTGCTCTCCTTTTTGTGAAATCATATGGATTCATATATTTTTCTTCCCTCACCTCATTTTTCCGCTTTTCAAGTATGCGAATGGTCAGTTTTTTGCCAGTCCTATCTATATCTTTCTCTCTCAGCTGGGAATTGGACATGTGGACTGTAACTTTTCAGAGCTGGTCTATGTGATCTTCACTTGTCTTTTTCAAAAAATTATTTATTTATCCATAGAGGACACAATCTGCTGTAAACCACGTGTATTTAGGTGTGTTCTTTTGTTTTCCTCATCAAAAAAAGAAAGAAAATATGGGGATTTGACATGTTTGTTTGACTTAGGAAGTACTTCCATGTCCCCTCCTTTCCCTTCGTTTTCTAAATGGCAATTATTAAAGTGTAAATAGTATTGCTGGGCCTTAATTCATACACTTAAGGTTGCTTAACATGTTACCAGAGCTAAGTTGAGCTAGTGGTCTTGTGTTTGAATACCTCCATTTATTAATTAAAATTATAATTAGTTGTCTTTGTGGCTGTGGTGGTTGTGTTTGGTCCATTTGCAAGTTTTTATAGGGGAGCATATTAGAGTTTTAACTCTGTTGTTGTGTCCTTGTCGATAACTTTAAGCTTTTGGATCAAATGGTTTCTTGATAATAGTGATTATCAATCAGTAATCGGTTGCTGTGAACGGTTTGGTACTACAAAAGATACATGAACAAGTCTGATTTTGTTGGTTTAAAGTCGGATTGTCATGGAAAATTTGGGTTCTAATCTCATTTCCTTCTCTTTAGCCCTTTATTTGTTGGTCGTTTCTTTTGCGAATTATATTATATGTTACGACCTCATATTGATGCTCAGTTATCTTACTGTGGTCGTCTAGATTTTAATTTGGTGCTTTCTTGAAATGGAATTTTTTTTTTCCTTTTGTAATATATGACTATGTATTCTTCCTGTCGAATGCTCAGTTAATTTGGAAATTTGTTTACTTCATTGTACTTGTCACTTCTGTTATTGATTTGTTTTTGTACTTATTCCCTTTTCATGGTTTCAAATTTATACTATAGGAAAAACTTTGTAAGGCAAATACATGGCAGAGAACACAGCCTACAACTGATGTGGTTTCTCTTTTATCTGATATACGGATTGGTACGGGTAAAAATGATTTTTGGCCAGGTATACGAACAGCAAATATTCCTGCTGTAATGGCTGCTGCAGCTGCAGCTTCAGGAGCAAACTTAAAACTGACAGAAGCATTCAATTTGGAGGTGCTAGGCACTGGCATTGTGAGTGCAACAGCCAAATGCAACCATGCTGGAGAGATTGCTGGCATGAGAAGGTTGTATAACAGCATTGGTGGATTTCAAACTGGCACCAATACAACAGGGTTTGGTATTGGTAGTGGCTTCCAGAAGTTAATTGCTGGAGCATTTTCCCTACAGTCAGATGCAGAGGATGATTCGTTTAATGAGATGTTGCTTTCCAAATTTGTGCGTCAACTTCAACTATTTGTTAACATTGCTGAAAAAGGTGGCGAATTGGACAAGTCACTATTTCGTGAAACTTGTTCTCAGGCTACTGCATTGCTTCTTTCAAATCTGGTAATAGAATAATTCTCATCATTTCTGTATTTTGCTAGTATCAACAAATATTCTTCGGTCCACATTGTTTTCTTATGAATTTTAGGTTTTCTTTTTCAGGGTTCTAATTCCAAGTCAAATGTAGAGGGCTTCTCACAACTTTTACGGCTTCTTTGCTGGTGTCCTGCTTATATTTCCACTCCTGATGCAATGGAAACTGGTGTTTTCATTTGGACTTGGTTAGTGTCTGCTGCACCCCAACTGGGGTCCCTTGTCCTTGCTGAGCTTGTTGATGCATGGCTATGGACAATTGACACAAAACGAGGTCTCTTTGCAAATGAAGTGAAGTACTCTGGACCTGCTGCAAAATTGAGGCCTCATCTTGCACCTGGGGAACCAGAGGTGCAGCCTGAAGTTGATCCTGTTGAGCAAATAATTGCTCATAGACTATGGCTTGGATTTTTCATTGATCGTTTTGAGGTAGGATTTAATTTTTTTATGCATATATCTGTGTCTCAAGCATCCTGCTCTGCCATTCTTATTGATGTCAAGATGAATTTACTTGCAGCAGCTCATAATATGTTAGATTTGTAGGGTAAGGTTCGTGTATGTATCATTGTTATCTTTTCAGTTGTCCAGATAGTATCTTCCAGAACTATAACAGATCTGGTTTCCTAGTCTATAGGGGCCTACAATCTCAATGAAAAAGCTGTGGCTTCTGAGAATTCGATCTCATGTGTTCATATGAAGATCAACACATGTTTGATAAATCTGGCATCAATCGGTTTTTAGGTTTAAATATATGCAATGATGCAAAAGTATTCTGACATGTACTGTTTCTGGCTCTGGAATTAGTGTTGCTATTTGATCATTTCAATATGATTAAATTGAGAATAACTTATGTATTCTAAGTTTTGCATCCCAAATGATATGATATTATATTAGAGATACGTGTTGATTATGTGATCCATGATATGTAGCTCTAAAATAATATCATATCACTTCAGATGTATAGCACAACTCTTAAATTAAATGAAGACCTAATCACTCAACCAGTGTCTAAATTACCAGTATAAAAAGCTTGTGTTTGCTCTACTTCTTGTTATATAATCTCTCTCTCTCTCTCATGCTAAAAATGCACAGACACATAGTTTGTGTTCTGTTAACCTTCATGTGGTCACCTTCCTTGCTCAATCTTGTCCTGGTTGCACAGGTAGTTCACCACAATAGTGTTGAGCAGCTCTTGCTCCTTGGTCGAATGTTACAAGGGACCACTAAACTCCCATGGAACTTTTCACGCCATCCTGCAGCTACTGGTACTTTCTTCACTCTCATGCTTCTTGGGCTGAAGTTCTGCTCCTGCCAGTCCCAGGGAAATTTGCAAAATTTCAAAACAGGACTTCAACTTCTGGAAGATCGGATCTATAGGTGACTACAAGTGATTCCATGCTCTCAGAGTTTATCTGCATCTTTTTGCTGCTTTTTTTTAATCATGCATCATTGGCTTATGGGATCTAGGTAGCTTGTTTTTGTTTTGACATAACAATAGCTTTTGTCCATATGATAAGGGACAATTAGTTTTTGATTGTTTGCTTTTTCTTTCTTTCTTTTGTTTTTTTGGGGGATCTTTTAACTCCTGATTATGTTTTGCTTCTTGACAATTGGGGTTCATTATATATGCGATTGTACTTATCTCTCTCTCTCTCCCTCTCCCTCCCTCTCTCTCTCTAATTTGGTGGGCGGAGGGGCTGGGTGTTACAGCAACTTTGCATAACCTTTCAGTTCAATTCAATAATTCTGCAATGTAATTTTACGATGCTTCAAGTTGGGTTTTTAAGTATGTATGTTAAAATGTGCAGCTCCATCTGTGTTTAAATTCTGTAGAAACTTTAATGCATGTGAAATACTTGAAAGTTAATTAAAATCTTTTTCATGAATCTTTGAGCCAATCATGACTATGATTGCATAATTTATGTTGCTGACCATCTAGTTTAGACAATTTGCTGCACATAGTGAAGTACCTATTAAGTGGAGTATATACTGTGAATTCCTTCGTATTTAATTCTTGTTTATCCTGTCCTCTGTATAGTTAGGGCTTACTTTTGTTTGCTTCCATTAAACATCTTGAACAATAAATCAAAGTCTCTGCATACTTGTGTTTATTAGCATTATACTAGATAAAAAAAATGGTATGTATGGTTTGTTTTCTCAAGTCAAATTTAAGCAATATATGTTGTTTGAAGGAATCATAATTTGTCTTTGGTGCATTTTACAGGGCATCACTGGGCTGGTTTGCCTATGAGCCTGAATGGTATGACACAAAATATATGAATTTTGCCCAGTCTGAGGCTCAGTCCATCTCTGTATTTGTTCACTATCTTTCAAATGAGCGAGGAGATGCTATTCAACCTGACCCAAAAGGACGGGGGCGTGAGAATGGTGGCCCTTTGGCTGATATGGTGAGGTGTTTAAATTTATTTGTTATAGAACATTCATCTACAATGTTAATTTCGTTGACATAGTAATCCTTTGAGTTGTTTATCCCGCTTTATTACTAAATTTACTTAGATACTTGTAGAACAATCAATATCACCCAGTCTGGGGCCAGATAGAAAATTATTCTGTGGGAAGAGAAAAAAGGAAGCAGCTACTTCTGATGCTATGCCAGCATGAGGCTGATAGGCTTGACGTCTGGGCACAGCCAATTACCTCTAAGTAATCCTTTAATTGTGTTGCAGAATTTATTAAGCATCTGATTTATTTAGTCTTTATTTTTCTTCTTGTACTGATAATTTCTTATTAATTATTTATATGTTTCTTTTCTTATTCAGGGATAGTATATCTTCTCGGCCTAAAATTAGCTCAGAGAAGTGGGTTGAATATGCTAGAACTGCATTCTCAGTTGATCCTAGGATTGCTCTATCCTTGGCATCAAGGTTTCCGTCAAACGCTTCTTTGAAGGGTGAAGTAACTAATCTGGTTCAGGTATGTTCTCATTTTGACTAGGAATCATTTTGGTCATTAGATCATAGTTCTCATATGAAAATTTTTGCTAATATGCTTGTTGTTTTGATAGTAATTTGGGAGGGAGATGTGTGAAGGTTAGCTGAATGCACTTGGGAAATGGCAGAGTGAAAAATGTGGCCATTTGAAAACGCAAAGTTTCATTGTTTTACATCTCTGATTTTATGCACAAAAAAAGATCTGTTATTGTGTTCTTTAGTATTAAAGTTTGGAAGAATTTTATTAAGGCAATAAATATGAAGTATAAGTTATTTTAAGCAACATTTCTACTAGGATTCTTTTTCGGGTTCATTTTGGAAAAAAATATTGCATGATTCACAAGAAGGATTTTTTTTTTTTAATAAGAAAAATGAATTGCTCAGTGTACATTGCTACTTGTGCACTGCTTGCCAAAGTTATATGGTGTAAGTAGCTAGTTGACCCAAAACTTTTGTTGGTAGGTTAGAGACCAAATAGTTTTAAGTCCAACATGACCTCTCACGTGCACTTTCACATGGATCAAAAACCACCGCAACCACAACTACTAACAACAAAAAAGACAGGTTTTTATAATGTGTGTACAATAGACAGATTTGAACACAAGATCAATTGGTTAATTTGACTTTGATACCATGTTAAGTAGTTCTGTGGCCCAAAAGGTTAGGCAGATAGGTTTAAGCTCTTAACACATCATATAAACCATCAGTTGTCTAGTTTCATTTCTCTTATTTGATATGTTCTACTGAATTCATTCTGGGCGAGTGCTGCTTGTTATCGAAGAAATTCTTCTTGTCAACTGATAAATGGCTAAAGTAAAATTAAGATTCTATATAACTAAAAGTTGATAACTCTTTCTAGAACACCTGTTTTGTTCAAGAAAATGTATTGGGAGTCCAAAAGTGTGGAAACATATCATTCACTGTCCTATATTACTATATGATGATTTTATTTCTTAATATGGTTCTTAGATGCATGCATAATTTCAATGAAAGGGAAAATTCAGCATAAAGTTCTTTTTTTTGTAGTACCAGTTCTGTCGCATTTTATTTTTATGCATTCTCTTGATTAAACTGGTGCTTTCTTGCAGTCGCATATATTGGAACTCCGCTGTATACCCGAAGCATTGCCATATTTTGTGACCCCTAAGGCAGTTGATGAAGATTCAGCACTTTTGCACCAATTGCCACACTGGGCTGCTTGTTCAGTTACTCAAGCTCTTGAGTTCCTAACTCCTGCATATAAGGGTCATTCACGTGTCATGGCATATGTTTTAAGGGTTTTGGAATCCTATCCTCCTGAACGAGTGACTTTCTTCATGCCACAGCTAGTTCAGGCTTTGCGATATGATGACGAGGTGAGTTGTTTAATGAAGATGTTTATTTTACCATTTATGTCTTTACGCTAGTATGGGGCCTGGGGCTCGTGGAAGTTGATTCAGACCATTGAGCATTGTCCTGGGCTTGGCTGAATGATCCTGATTCACTCAATTTCGCTTACATTGTGCTGAGATTTTGGGAAATTCAGGTGAACCTGTGATTGATTCATCCTTGGTTAATGGCTTGTTTTCATTCAACATTTGCCACACCGAAATTTAATGATGAGTTACTGTTTTTTTTCCCAATCTACACAATAGATAGGCTTTAACTTGTGCCTGTTTAACCTGGCAATTATGCTCAACAAATTTAGCTTTGGCAAACATAGATTAGTAGTCTAAGCTAGGTGTTTGATGATTACAATGAGTTTTGATCGATAAACCTTCTGGATGCACAGAGCTAATTAATATTTGTTGTGCGTTCAGTAAGCGTATTGTTTGAGTGGGGGTAGAGAAATGCAGAATAGTGGAAAGTCTTAATATACAGTAACCTCCTTATATATTGTTAAGAATAAATCAACTTTACTAAAACACTTACACGATGCCATACTAATGAAAGTAAAACATATTCCAGACACCTTAACACTTAAATTAATCTATTCTTCTGTTAAATTTGTATTTCATAATTTTTGCAGAAATTGGTGGAAGGGTATCTGCTTAGAGCAGCTCAAAGAAGTGATATATTTGCCCATATCTTAATATGGCATCTACAGGTTTGAAATATTTATGTTTATATTACTTGAAGGCCTGCAATTATTAGTTTTTCGGTCAATTTAGGCGGAATTTATATTTTTATTTGCTTTAAGTATAACTATAAGAATTTCATTTTTTTTATTTGTTTGGAATGGCAGGGTGAAATATCTGTTGTACCAGAATCCGGGAAAGACCCTAATGCTGGGAAGGTATGTCATTCTATGCCTACTCCTTTTTATCAACAATAAGAACTTATTAATATATAAATGATATGAACTTCTGTTGTCAATGCCTTGGAAGTCACTTACTGAAGATATCTTTTGTACATGTTATGGTTTATAAATCCAGAATCATTTTTGGTGTCGATTCATAATTATACTTAATGTCCATTTTTAAAAATAGATACTCCTAACTACAGAGAGTAAATGGAAATATTCATGCAAATTGTTGAAACTGTCAAAGCATATATAAATACCCTCTTAATTTCCGTACTTATTGTTCAATACCTGTCCTTTATATCTTATGCATAACCAATTTTTGATAGCTTACTGTCTGAGACATGTTTGCTTGATTTTGTATTTGGAAATAGCAAAGTTTCTAAAAGGGGTTCTTAATTTTTCTGTTTGGATTGTTCGATCTTTTTCTTTAACCTGTTATTTAGGCTCAATAAATTGTTTTTCTACATGTTATTATTATTTTTTTTTTTCAGAATAAGTCATTTCAAGCATTGTTGCCCACCGTTCGGCAGCATATTATTGATGGTTTCACTCCCAGGGCCCTTGAATTGTTTCAAAGAGAGTTTGATTTCTTTGACAAAGTTACATCTATTTCTGGTGTATTATTTCCGCTCCCCAAAGAAGAACGCCGAGCTCGTATTAGGAGGTAAACTTGTTCAAGCTTCTATTCACATTGGTTTATTTTTTATTTCTCGTAATTGAACTGGGTGTTTAACCTTCTTACTATAATAGGGAGTTGGAAAAAATTGAAGTGGAGGGAGAAGACCTTTATCTACCAACTGCTCCGAACAAGCTTGTCAAGGGTATTCAGGTAAATAGTGGAATACCATTACAATCAGCAGCCAAAGTTCCAATTATGATCACATTTAATGTGATTGATCGGGATGGTGACCCAAGCAATGTGAAGCCCCAAGCTTGCATTTTTAAGGTAACCTTGTGCGTTTTTGTACACGAATCTGGCTGTTGGCTAGATGCAAAAAGTGTTTTTTAAAAAGTGAAGGTAAAATCTGCTTAGGCATGGCTTGACTTAAGTTTCCTAATTTAAGGTTGGTGACGATTGTCGACAAGATGTTCTCGCTCTTCAAGTGATATCACTTCTAAGAGACATATTTCAAGCAGTTGGACTTAATCTTTATCTTTTCCCATATGGTGTTCTCCCCACTGGCCATGAGAGAGGTATAATTGAGGTGAGTAACTACACTTTTCAAAAGTCTTGGTAAAATCTGTGTCCATATGATCAGGATGATTGTTTTAGCCAATGTTAAAGTTTTTTTCTTGTCATTTAATTACTGAATTACATTTCGATATTGGACCATTTTACAAATTCTTCCCTCTTAGTAACATGATCACTTTGTTTTTACATCTTGAAATTAAGTGAAGTAAGATAATCTTGTACTTTCTGTCTTACCTTCTTTTTGCATGCATTGTCAAGAATCGGAAATTGATTTAGGTCAGGAAAAAGAAATCCATATGTGTTGCATTGTTCAATTCATGGGATTTTGCTGAAGAGATATGGCCCGAATTTTACTGAATCAGCTGTTCTGCATCCAAGTGTTTGCAAGCACAATGATTAAATTCTTGTTCAAAATTTGAGCATTCAAGCAAAAAGAAAACTGAAATAGCAGAATTTTTCCGAATTATCCCTGGTTTTGAATGAAGACTAAGCAGCCAATATGAGAGGACATGATAATAAGTGAAAGATTGAAGTTCAGTCCAATATGACTGCTTGTATGATTGTGCTTTTACTTGAAACATGTCAACTTTGTTGGCGCTGCTAGATTTGTAGAAGCATGGTTCATTTCTGATTTTTTGTACAGCCTTCCACGAACTTACAAATTCATCTGGGTATCTGAACCTTCTAGTCATCAAATTATTTATCTTTTAGTAGTACTGTGATAAAGTGATGGAAAAATTTTCTACAACTGGGAAATGAAGGTCATTTAATTGCACAACTCATGTATTCTTTCCTTTGCTTTCAATGTTTGAAATTCTTGTTTACCAAGAAAATGTCACTAAGGTCACAAAATTTGATTCTGATGAGTGCTATGAACCAATTTTAACTTACTAGGGTTGTTTATATATACTGTTCAAACTTCCTTACTAATGAGCATTTCTTATTTTGCAGGTTGTGCCTAATACACGGAGCAGAAGTCAAATGGGTGAAACAACTGATGGTGGTTTGTACGAGATTTTTCAACAGGACTATGGGCCCGTTGGGTCTCCCAGTTTTGAAGCTGCACGGGAGAACTTTATCATTAGCAGTGCTGGTTATGCAGTTGCTAGCCTTTTACTACAACCCAAGGATAGACACAATGGGAATCTTCTATTTGACAAGTATGCTCTTGCTTGCATGATTTATTAATTATTTTACTACTTTGAATGGCTACTTGACAAACCCCGTTACTATTATCACTTGTTTAGCTCACTATCTCCCACAAATCCTTTAGAAAAGTGAATGATTCTCTAGTATTAGTAATAAAGATACTAAAAAAGACATCTAACCTCAATATTAATGTCTATGCAGCAAGGGGCGGCTTGTCCATATTGATTTCGGTTTCATTTTGGAAACGTCACCTGGTGGAAATATGCGTTTTGAGAGTGCCCACTTCAAGCTGAGCCATGAAATGACCCAATTACTAGATCCATCTGGGGTTATGAAGAGTGATACATGGCATCAATTTGTAAGGTAATGAAAGAGTTTCTTGTTGGATCTATTTTTCTTTATACATTTTGTTGACAACTTTTGTCTCAAAGTTGACTCCGTTATTTTGTACATGAATAGCTTATGTATTAAGGGTTATCTTGCTGCTCGTCGTTATATGGACGGTATCATCAACACCGTGCTGTTAATGCTAGACAGTGGATTACCTTGCTTTAGTAGAGGTGACCCAATTGGAAATCTTCGCAAGAGGTTTCATCCGGAGATGAGTGAACGTGAGGCTGCAATTTTCATGAGAAATGTATGCACAGACGCTTACAACAAATGGACCACTGCTGGATATGACTTGATACAGTATCTGCAACAGGGCATTGAGAAGTGAAGAATATTTTGGACCTCGTCTTCAAATGTACATTCCTGTTTGTATTTCTTTATTATAGCTGTGATTTTTCCGAAGATCTCCACCGTAGTTTTGGGTAGAACAAATTGCAGAATCACCACCATGACACAGTTGACAACTAATCGCCGAGAAAATGATAAGAATTAAGCTGGTTGTAACTTAGTGGTGGGTTCCTCGTGAGGCTTGTAAAATTATAATTCTTAGTTTTTTTTTTTTTTTTTTTTTTTTTAACATTTTTACAGCTTGTTGCAACCATAGGCCGAAATTGGAAGGACAAAATGTTCCCCCGGTTATCTGTATAATTCTTACCTAATTGCTTCAGTAGCCATTACCAGCCATCCCTACAGGCTTCAATTATGGATACTACAGTATAACTAAAATGGGTTCTTAAATTATATGTTGTATGATCTGAATCTCTAAAAGATTTTCATTAAGCTGGTCCTGATTCATGTCTACAACTAGAGCCTTCATCTCTGCCCAGCTCTTACATGTTCTTCCATTTATTCATTCATTTTCATTTGTTCTATAAATATATAACTATACCAAGTAAAATGTTTTGAGGGCCAATGTGTTTCAATATTTATTATTTTCGTGCTGGCTTCATTTTGACATTAGGCTTGGCAATATTTCAAATTCAATTGATTATTAATTATTAAACACCCACCTAGTGAAACTTGTAAGTTGGGTTTAGACTTTAGACATTGTATGAGAGGGGACAAATTTTAACGTTAGGCTTACAGTATTTCAATTGATTTGATCACCTACCAGGTACCGGCCCTTTGCTTTCGCATTATTATTGGTAGTCAATTCAAAATTTCAAATTATTTAATCAACCAATGCAGGAATGGACCACTCACTTATTCTTAAAGCAACATAACCACATAATTTAAATTTTTAACTTATAGGCATCAAAATCATAGCAACGTATAAAACCAAACTTGGACCATTTACTTGCACAAATGACAAAAAAGAAATATTATAGATAGAATATTATCTATTTCATTGCATTATTGCATAAGGGTTTGTCCTTTTTTTTCTTCTCTTCGTTCAACCCTCTCAATCAAACATCACTATCCTTTCAGAAAGCTAAACTAAAATATTTAAAACATCATCATATTTACTAACGAGTAATGCCGGATCGATAATTTAATCTCACAACTCCCGACATGGTAATTTGTCATTGGTCAACTTGTAAAATAAGTCTTGTCTACTTGTATGGATCTTACCTGCTCATTTGCAAACTAACCAATAACGAACTGCTACGTTGAGGATTGTAAGAGAAGATTATGGATATAACATTATTGTTTTCCATGTTACCTTCTAGTTACTCACGGGCTTAGACACCACCCCTGACTGAACGTTACTGGAATCGTCACGATTTCCGTTACCGTCGCCATTAAGTTGACTGTTTCTCATATTGCGCTTGGAGTCCCTCAACCAATTTAAGTTACCAAAAAGGACATCCATCTCTTCGAGGGTTTTACCCTGTGTTTCCGGGTACAGCGTATAAAAGAACACCCAGGACACCATTGCGATTCCCGTGAAAAGGAAGAAAGCTCCGCCTATTGTCATGGCCTTGTAAAGGGATAAGAAAGTCGTTCCCATGATCCCACTTACAAACCTATTCATTGCAACTCCCATACTCGCTCCCTGAGCTCGTAGCCTCAACGGGAAGATCTCGGAGCTGTAGACCCACGCGATGGGCCCCATCCCCATCGAGAAGAACGCGACGAAAGATATCACCGTCGTGATGGCTAATCCAACAGCCCATGGTAACTTTACGTCGGAGTGACTGATGACCGTTAAAGAGGATGCGAGGATGGCAAGGGACAGGATCATACCCCCCATACTACTCAAAATCAACGGCCGCCGTCCGATTCTGTCAAGCAAAAACGTAGCCACTAAGATGAAAATAGTCTTGGTAAATCCGACGCCTACAGTTGCGAGTAACTTGTCGTTATCAGATTTAATCCCGGCTTTTTCGAAGATCCTGGGACTGTACAAAACGACGGCGTCTATACCCGACGCCTGCTGAAAGAAATGAATACCAATGGCGCAGATTAAAATGTGACGAACCGTCGGTGTAGGATGAAGGAAGAGCTCTCTCCATACACCCTCACCGTGGCTACGTTTCTCAACCCGAACGACGTCGTCGTTGCATTCTTGGGGAATGCCAGCAGCTTCTTTAATATCGGCGAGTCTTAAGGCGGCTTCGTCTTTGGAGTTGGAGGTTTTGTCGAGGACTTTCCTGGCGTCTCTGAGTCGACCTTGCATGACCAGCCAACGAGGTGACTCAGGCATGGCTAAGACGCCGACGGCCAGCAGCACGGAGGGGACGGCGCTGATGCCAAGCATCATTCGCCATCCCAATTGAAGTGACAGCTTCGAGAATGCGTAGTTTGAAACGTATCCCAGTAATACCCCTCCATTAATGAACACCTGTGGTACAGTTTTTTAGTATTGCAAGAGTAATTTTTATTGAAAATTCCAGGAAGGTGGCGACTCGTATAATTAATGCGTAAAGTTGTGAAGGAGAAGAAGAACAAAGTAAATTCAAATTACCTCAGGGAAAGAACTGAGGAAACCACGAGAGGCAGCGGGCGAGAGTTCGGAAGTGTAAACAGGAGCAATCATGAGAGCATAACCGACGCCAATTCCAGCAACAAAACGACCCACCATTAGGAACGCATAGTTTGTGGCGAAACCCATCACCAGAGCTCCTATAAAGAATATGGCTCCCGCTAGTACGATGGTGTAGCGCCGCCCGATCCAGTCGGAGGTTCTGCCGGCCGCCGCCGCACCAAACAGTGAGTAAAGGTTGATGGTCCCCACCAGAAGCTCGACTTTCACGTCGCTAATTTTGAGGTCCTTTTTTATATAGATTGCCGCCCCACTCATTACTCCAGTATCTGTCAAACAAAAACACACACATGCATAAGATTGATCAATTCTCCATATTATACGAGTTTCTTTCTTTGTTTATTTTCGTCAGTAATTAAGTTAAGTTACCATAGCCGAGCAAGATGGAAGTCATGGAAGCTAGAATGGCGCAAGCGAAAGCAAACTTGTTGCGTTTGGGTTTCTGGGGAGGATCAAAATCTGCAAGGGTTTTGGGACGTTGGTCAGCATGAGTAGTAGCAGCAGTAGTCTCAGCTCCCAGGCTAGCCATGTTTGAAAATAAGCAAGCTGGCGAGAGAAGTAGAGAGAGGGAGATTAAGAGTGTATGGTGTTAGCTATCTGGTTTTTGAAGAGTGGATTTCAAGCTACCATGAAACTAAGCCACTGGCTGTTGTGAAGCGCTGTGTTAAAGAGTGTTGAACTTATATGGAACAAGAAGAAGACTAAATTTCGGCTTACATCATTTCTTAGACCAACCGATGAGTCCAACTACACTGTTTATCTAAATAGAATTTGAATTTTCAAAGAGGTCACACTCTTTAAAGAATAAACAACTACCCAAGGTTTGCCTTAATTATTTGCTCACCCAAAAAGTTTCAAAATATCACTTTTTCACCCAAGGTTTAGATTCCGTTAATACTCAAAATACACTTCACTTTCTCAATCGATGTTTGACAAGTTACCAGGAGTCACTGTACGAAAGGTTTTATAGATTGGAGGCCGATGGATCAAATAGTTGTGATCGATTGAATATTCGTCGTCGGAATCAATCAGAAATCAGCTAAGAACAAAAAATCATAGCTTTGTGATGGCTAGCAATCAGCGAGAAATCAGGTGTTGGAGTAAGAGGGGTTTGTAGAGAGGAAACCGAAGTTTCAAATAGTACTGACAGAGAAAATTTTTGCCGTAAAAATTGGCTTTGGGTAGTAATAGAGTATTAACTTTTGAGTGAGAAAATGATATTTTGAAACTTTTGGGGTAGGAAGGGCCATTAAGGCAAACCTTGGGTGGGAAAATGGCGTTTACTCCTCTTAAAATCCTTAATTTGACTTTCAAAGTTGGGCCTTATTACAATAATCAAGCTCCATATTTCTAATGAAGTGGTGTTTCTAATAATTTTTAGGTAGAAAACTTTATAAATTCTCAATTCTTTATAACTATACCCAAATAATAAATTATATATTACCTTTTCTCCTTCCATCAAATCTAGAAATTAGAATGTATTATTACCGGAAACTTATATATAAGAAATAAGACCTTAACCTATATTTTTTGTTGATATGGGTTGGGGTTTAATTTCTCATACCAAGGATTATCTTAATCATTTCATCCACATAGATTTACCATTTATTGGTACGAGAAATCATACCCTGTCCTCCATTTATGTTAGTATAGTTTAAGGTTTAAAATCTTATACTAATGGATGATTTATATTATGGATAAAAATTGACTCAAAACTTAATCTTACAAATTTTCTCTCACAATTTCGACGTAACAGCTCACAATCGGTTAACTTTTATATAGTCAGGCGAGACCTATAACGAGCAGACGAGACTCATTTGCGAGCTAATCAATTGCAAGTTATCACGTTAAGCATTAGTAGATCCAAAAATTTCTGTTAGGATGAGCAAAAATAAAAACTAATTACACATTAATATTTTTGTTAAGATGGGCCAAAATCTAGAAATTGTACATATTAGTATTTAAAAAAAAATTAAGGATAGGTTATGACCCATTCAAAACTAGGCTGGATCTACCCTGATGTCAGGATTATGAGATAAAATTTATAAAATTAGATTATAAGTGTAATATTACCCTTATATCATTTTGGCAAACATACAAAAATGGGGTAAAATAACACCAAATTAATATTATAATGTAAACTGTATTCAAATTATTAGACAAACACTAAACCACGGGCTAAATCCAAAAATTTTCATTGTTAGTATGATTGTTTTCTTTTTTAAAGTAAAGTCAGTCAATGAATAAGACAAAAACAAAAAGGAGTGGCAGGTGACTCATAAAGTTTCAATCGTACATGTACCAATGTGAACAAATTTTTTTTTTTTTTTTAATTCTTGGGTCAACAAAAGTAGGCTTCTTATTTCAATTAAATGATTGACTAATTGATTAATTAATTAATTAATTAATGGACACACTTCACTTTTTTTTATTTTGTGAAGGCAATATTCAAAGTCAAGCGGGCCCCTGCAATTCACAATTTCACATTTCACTAACTCTCCTCAATTATTGCCTATGAGTAGACGACTTTTTCCCATATGACTTAATTACACATTTTAATCCATAAATTTTTTAAATATTAATTTATTATTTAAATTTATATTCCGTTTTCGATTCTAACATCGTTGCAATTCCACACCATCACTATTCTCTTTCTCAATCATCACTCACCAAAACCCTTTAAACTCTATTCTCACCGACCCTATCAATTATTAACAATTGAGTGATTAGGATTTACAGAACTGCCCCTCCCAAGTTAAATTCCAATCAAAAGACTCATCAGCCTCCTCTCTTCAAAAGCCCCAATAGTCTGAACAGAGTTTATTCTTTATTCGTCTCGGAATATAAATTTGGATGGTATAATAATATTTTAAAAATCTTAGGTGGAAAAATGTCATTAAACCATTATTTGGGTGGGAAAAAGTAACTCGTTGCCTATTTATTTTTGCTATTAAAAAAAAAAAAAGATTTGTAAAATATTTCTGATTTTTTACAGCCTGCCACGAACTTACAAATTCATCTGGGCTTCTGGATCTTCTAGTCATCAAATTATTTATCTTTTATTAGTACTGTACTGTGATAAAGTGTATACTTTGTGATGGAAAGTTTTCTACAACTGAGAAATGAAGGTCTCCTAAGTTGAAATCATATCTAACGGCACAATTCATGTATTCTTTCCTTGGAAATTCTTGGTTACTAAGAAAATGTCACCAAGCCCACAGAATTTGATTGTGAAGAGTGCTATGAAGTGTGAACCAGTTTTAACTTACAAGGGTTGTCTATATATACTGTCCACACTTCCTTCTCTTATTTTGCAGGTTGTGCCTAATAGGCTAATACACAGAGCAGAAGTCACATGGGTGAAACAACCGATGGTGGCTTGTACGAGATTTTTCAACAGAACTATGGCCCGTTGGGTCTACCAGATCCCAGTTTTGAAACAGCAAGTGAGAACTTTAGCATTAGCAGTGCTGGTTATGCAGTTGCTAGCCTTTTAAGTTTTAATACAACCCAAGGATAGACAAAACGGCAATCTTCTATTTGACGAGTATGCTCTTGCTTGCATGATTTATTAATTGTTTTACTATTTTGAGCGGCTGCTTGATAAACCCTGTTACTATTATCACTTGTTTAGCTCACTATCTCCCTCAAATCCTTTAGAAAAGTAAATGATTTTCTAGTATTAGTAATAAAGATACTCAAAAAGACATCTAACCTCAATATGAATGTCAATGTGATAGACTCATTCTCTTTAACTCACACACCCAAGCAAACAAAACAACTCAAACAGTAAACCAAAAACAATATTCAAGAACATGTGTATATTGATGATAGAAATCAAAGTGACACTTCCAAAATGCAAATCTACTATCTATCCAACTCACAAAATGCATATAACAAAATAAAAACTCAAAGAAAAACAAAGACACCGCTGAACTTCGAGGGCTAGCTTCCTCCCCTTTCCCTTTTCCCCAACTTTTCTCAATAATCTATATCTCCTGACATTCTCCCTTTTTAATTCATTCAGCACTCCAACATAACAGAATATTGTACTCTACCTATCAACAAAAGCCATATGTCTTGCCATCTGTCTTGTACAATTATGTCACCCTCCCATGTCCTGGCTTGTAATCCTCTATTTCACCCATTTACTCTTCCTACTGTAGACCGGCACTTCATTGGTTCTATCATTACCCTCCCCAAGGAGAATCACATTGTCCTCAAGGTGGAACGAGGGAAATTGGGTATTGATAGTGTGGAAATCTTCCCAAGTGCTTTCATGAGGAGGTGGCCCCTTCCATTGAATGAGGACCTCCCATTGTCCATTCAACAACTTCCGCTTCTGGAGCACATTTTCGGGTTCAACGATCAGCACAAGGTCTTCATTGAGGTTCTCTGGAAGTGGTTGACTATTTGGAATAAAGAAGATGGCTTTCTTCAATTGTGAAACGTGGAAGACATCATGTATGCGGGCTGATAGGTGTAAATCCAATTGTTAAGCTGTTGTCCCAATTTTATTTTTGATCACAAGCGAACCGTAGAATCGTGGGCTAAGCTTTTCATTATGGTGCCTTGCTAAGGAACATAGCCTGTAGGGTTGTAGCTTCAAATAGGTCGAGTCCCCTACCTCAAAAGTGACTTCCCTTCTCTTCTTATATGCATAAGTTTTTATCCTATTTTGGGCATGAATCAGATTGTTCTTTAACTCCTGGAGGATGTAGTTGTTAGTGTATGCACTAAGAACCAATCGTGTTGTCTGTTTCAAGGCATTATATCTTGTAAATACTCTTTTGAGAATGGAAGAAAGAGTTGTGATTTCACATGTTGTTTACTGCTTTATTTATACTATATATAATGCATGTGAAATTTCAGGATGATACTGATCTTTAGAATATCAAATCATTGAAGCATTCTCTACGTAAGTAATATTAATCGGGCAATAACATTGCATAGTAGGCAAGTTGAATGTCTCCATTGAATATCATGTGATGGTATTAGTGTGGGTGATTATAAGAGGTATATCACTAGGGCATTAGCATGGATAAAAGGTTGGTGAACTGTTTATCGAATATGACTAATTACGATGAATTACATGGACATTTAGAATGTGGTCAATGATACATCGTAGGATCGTACTAGTGTATCATTGATCCTTAGACTTGAGACATCACGGTTGGACTCGACATAGGATACATATGATTCATATGGTATATATACACGAGACTAGTCATGTTTTGTGTAAGAAGTCGGTTTAGTCATATGTTATTCATGTGTGAGACAAGTGATAGTCAAGATGTGATCCGTTAACTCGAAATAGTTTGGTCCGAGTTGCCAAACGAATGTCAATAAACATTGGAAAAAGGGAATCTCAAGCTAGAGTACAAAATAGTCATATGAAAAGGTGTTTCATGATGACACGTTCCATTATATTGATTGACAATTCAGATAAAGATCAAGTTAAGGGTTTTGACATACCATGAACTTATACTTAATCGGGATTAGACGACGGAGAGATTTTACTACATAGAACGTACGATCGGGAAAAAAGGTTTATTAGAGTTTAACTTCATTGTGACCTAGGGGTTATGGAGCATTGCTAGATAACTACCATGATCGGTGGGAGTTTCGATCATAAAGAGTTATGACGAAACATATCAGATTGTGATATTGGGCCTATGGCTAGATTACAGTGAACCTAAGTGGTCACATCTAAAAACCAAGTATGAGAAGAGAAAGTAATACATATCGTTAAAGGTTAACGATGTTCAGATGTAAACGTGTGTATCTGAATTTATGTATTGGTGAGAAATGACTACTCATCGAAAGCTAGCACTTACCAAAGGTAATAAGGTAATTTGGTCATTATTGGATTAGATTCAATTATGGACTAAAATATATTATTGAACTAGATTCAATAATGGGACAAATATTAAATAAGATTATTTTATATGCCTTGATTATAAATTTGTTTAAATCAAGGATTTAATATTAAGGAGTTAATATTAAATTGAAATTGTTTAAAGGACTTAGGATCAATAATGATTTAATATTAAGAGTTAATATTAAATTGAAATTAGTTTAAAGACTTAAAAACAATATTGAATTTGTGTTAAGTGTTAATATAGGATTCATATTAATTTAAGGACTTGAAAACAATTTCAAATTATTGCAAAATGGTCTTTGTATATAAATAAGTGATATTCCCAAATTTAATCTAATTTTCATTTTGATTGAAAATCTCTCTCTTGAGCTCTCATGGTCAACTATCTCTTGAATCTCCCCAAACTCCATCAAATACCCTAACATTTTCTAACTGGTTGCAGTCCCGTTAAAGGTTCAAACACTTGCCTAAACTGGTCTTGCACTTCAGCCAATGTTTCATCCATTCTCTCCTCACCTCCAAATTGCTTTTGAATCTCCCCAAACTCCACCAAATACCCTGATATTTTCTAACTAGTGACAGTCCCGTTAAGGGTTCAAACACTTACCTAAACTAGTCTAACACTTCAGCCAATGCTTCATCCATTCTCTCCTCACCTCCAGATTGCTTTTGAATCTCCCCAAACTCTACCAAATACCTTGACCTTTACTCTGTACCTTTTTTATCATTACTTTCAAGGACACCATTGTCTTACTCAAGGATGGGTCTCCACACGACTTCATAGTTTTCTCTCCTAACCTAAACTTCATGGTTTGTTTCTTCTAATCTATCACTGTTTCCCCTAAGGTCTCTAGCCATGCCATCCCAAGCACCACATCGACACTTCCCATTTTAAAGGAAAAGAAATTCTAGACGAACACCATACCTTGTAATTCCAAGGGAACTTCTTTACACTCCCCTTTACATGTAACCCGATACCCATCATCAACTCTAACTCTAACTCTAAAAGAAAGAGTTGCAACAATTGGGATCCCTAAACTCCCTATTGCCTCTATACTGATGAAATTGTGGGAAGCCCCACTATCAATCAAAACAATCAGCTCCCTACCTTGAACATTCCCTTTTAGCTTTATCGTTTTTGGCCCATGTATTCCTGCCATTGAACTGATGGACAACTCAACATTACTCTATGATTGTTCAATTTCAATATCCTTACCTTCTTCTTCATCTTCTTCATTGGTTGGATTTGGGTCTGCCTCACCTTCTTCAAGCAAAATTACCTATAATTGTTTCTCTCCACATCAATGCCTAGATAAGAATTTTGCATCACAAGATAAGAATTTTGCATCACACCTGTAACATAAACGCCTCTCTCTTCCTCTGAATCTCTGCCTAAATAAGCTTCCTGAAGGGAAAATCCCACCGAAAAGTGTTAGATTTGAAACTCTTGGTTGGCGTTAACCTTAGTTGCATGCATTCTTAGTGGAGAAACGCCTGAATGTCGATGGAGTGGGTTGAGTTCTTTGATTAGTTGTTGGGTGGGTTTGGGTCATAAGGGATTAGGTCATGTGGGTTTGGGTAAGGTCAAGTTGGGCCTTATCATATTCATCGGGTTTGAAGGGGTTGGTAAAATTTTGGGGCCCAATGACATTTCCTCCCATTCTCCCTTGTCAGCCCGAACCTACCCAGGCTTAATCCAATACAATATTCCTTCCAACTCTTTAGGCTAAGGTGGTAGCTTGGATTAAGGAGTTAGGTTGGTCCAGTAGGTTGGGTCTTTGGAGTTTAATTTCAGCCCTGATATCTGACTTTAGTTTGTTCATGAAGGTAGCGGTGAGAACATCTTCCCTCTCGTCGATGGTTAGTACTGCTACCTCTTCGTTGACATGAGCAACTCCTGAGGACTGACTTCCTAGGCACTACTAAACCTTTGAAGGAGCACCACCTTAAAGGCCGGCCAAGCCAGTATTGGATTTTTGGATTCTATCCAATGATACCAATTAAGGGCTTCTCCCTCCATACACAGCGCCGTAGAGAGGACTTTGTTCTCCTCTTTACCTAATTGATGACAAAGTATTGTTCAACTTGAAAAATCCAACTATAAAGGTCATCATAAAAGAAAAAATCAGCAGTTCAAGCTTTCATCCCCCCTAATCTCTCCAATTTCCCCCTTCACCGTGGTTATAACCCCCATACTCAAGTGGTAGTGGTGGTGGTTCGTTTTCCAGGCGAGTTTGTCCATCATATTGGTTTCCTATTCCGAAGTGGTTACCTTCTTCCAACACCATTATTCTATGAGCTTCTTCTTCTTCATATTTCCACTGTATCTAGTTTTGCATGTCAACCAGTATCTCCCTCATGGAGTAACAGTTTCCATCAACTTGGTTAAGTCTCTCTAAACCACCGTGAATTCTTTCTCAACATTATCAACTCTACTCTCCATTCTAGTGTTAACCATGCCCTAGTGAGCGATTGCCCTGAGACCACTTGATAGACTCCTTCTCTTTAACACACACACTCAAGGAAACAAAACAACTCAAACAATAAACCAAGATTCAAGATTCAAGAAAATGTGTATATCAATGACATAAATCAAAGTGATACACTTTTGGAATGCAAATCTACTATCTGTCTAACTCATAGAATGCATTAAACAAAATAAAGACTCAAAGAAAAACAAGGACATCGTTGAGCTCCGAGGGCCAACTTCCTCCCCTTTCCTTTTTTCCCAACTTTTCTCAATAATTTGTATCTCCTGTCATTCTCCCTTTTTAATTCATCCAGCACTCCCACATATAACAAAATATTGTACTCTACCTATTAATAAAAACCATATGTCCTGTACATTTCTGTCACCCTCCCATGTTCTGGCTTATAATTCTCTATTTCACTTCTTTACTCTTCCTACTATAGACTAGGACTTCATTGGTTCTATCACAATGCAGTAAGGGGTAGCTTCTCCATATTGATTTTGGTTTCATTTTGGAAACATCACCTCATTTTGAGAGCGCACACTTCAAGTTGAGCCATGAAATGACCCATTACAAGATCCATCTGGGTTTATGAAGAGTAATTCATGGCATCAATTTGTATAGTAATGAAAGAGTTTCTTATTGGATCTTTTTTTTAATTATACATTTTGTTGACAAATTTTATCTTAAAGTTGACTCCGTTATTTACATGAATAGCTTGTGTATTAAGGGTTATCTTGCTGCTTAGTCATTATATGGATGGTATCATCAACATTGTGCTATTAATGCTAGATAGTGGATTACCTTTCTTTAGTAGAGGTGACCCAATTGGAAACCTTCGTAAGAGGTTTCATCCAGAGATGAGTGAACACGAGGCTACAATTTTCATGAGAAATGTATGCACAGATGCTTACAACAAATGGACCACTGTTGGATATGACTTGATACAGTATCTACAATAGGGCATTGAGAAGTAAAGAATTGTTGAAAAATCAGAATCTGCTCTGATACCATGTTGAAAATCAGAAGAGTAAAAAAACATAAAATTAAAGAACAACACATAACACACAAAGGCACACGATATTTTATGTGGTTCAGCATAACTTGCCTACATCCACGAATGAGAGAGTTTTCACAATAATAATATGAATACGATACAAATGTTTCATCACACTATCAACCTTCATTATGAGCGATCGTTGGATACTCTAATTCCTCAGCCGAACATCTTGTTCCTATGATGTTTAATACCCCTTGGTATTTTTCCGATACCCATAGTACCCTTACATTAAAACCCCTTGTATTCCTACATTCTCTCTTTCTTTACTTCCATCTCTCATAATCTTGAATTGGTTTGGACTCCCTTATTTATAGGTAAAATAAGACATTCTTATTTTACTAAGATTCATATTCCTATTCATAATAAAACTCCTCTAATTTAAATTATTCTCCTATTTTAACTAAAATAAAGTCCTAAACCAATTCTTCTTTCCTACTACATCTCACAATAGAAAAGGAAAACAATTATTCTCAATTACAAATTCCTAAACTAGAAATTCGTCTAAAACTTAAATTCATTTTTCTTCTTGTTTGCCTTTTCTTCTTGCTTGCCTTTTCTTTGTGATTGCCTTTTCTTTATCAATTACAAAAAAAATGTTCAAATTCCAACAAGAATATTTTGGACCTCGTCTTCACTTGTAAATTATTGTTTGTAATTCTTTTATTATAGCTGTGAATTTTCCGAGGATCTCCACCATAGTTCTGGGTAGAAAAGATTGCAGAATCACCACAACAAATTGACAATTGATCACTGAGAAAATGAGAAGAATTAAGCTGGTTGTGACCTAGTGGTGGGTTCCTCTTGAGGCTTGTAAAAATATAATTCTAGTTCCCTTTTATTTTTTAAACTTTTACAGCTTGTTGCAACCATAGGCCGAAATTGGAAGGAAAAATTGTTCAACTGGTTATCTGTAATTCTGTATAACTCCTACCCAATTACTTGAGTAGTCATAGTCACCCATCCCTATAGGCTTCAATTATGGATACTATAGTATAACTAAAATGGGTCCTTAAAATATATATTGTATAATCTAATCTCTTAAAAAAATTGCATTAAGCTGGTTTTGTGTCAGATTCCCAGACTACATCTCAATTATTTGGATGGACTCTCTGTCTTCATCTAAGACAATGACTACAACTACAGCCTTCATCTCTACGCATCTCTTACATGTTCATCTATTCATTTGTTTTATAAATGTATAACTAGAGTTAACGGCTTTTTCCCACCCAAATAATGGTTTAATGACATTTTTCCACCCACAGACTTTTGAAATACCACTTTTCCACCCAAAAAAATAAGCTTTTTTAGTCAATGGTAAATGGAGAGCAAACTTGGTCCATGTCGTTGGGGTTCTCGAAGATGGGAGGCTGACGAGTCTTTTGGTGGTGGAAGATTGGATTTTGATGGTCGTGATTGGTCGTCATTTGACTTGGGAGGGGCATCTATGATAATTTGCATAATTTGAGTGTTTTTATGATTGTTTTTATGTTAGTTTAGTTAATTTCTCATTTTTTTTATTTGTTTTGGTGTTAATTTTTATTAAGCTTGAGATATGAATGGTTAGCTATTGATTTGAATAACTTCTGTGTTTTTCAGGTTTTGATTGAGTAGATTGGAGCATTGGAATGAAATTGAGACTTAAAGCTTGAAGAAGTTAAGACTACCTAACATTCTTGAAGGCCATGGTCATGCCTTGGTGGTTCACCATGGCCATGGTGGTGGAATTAAGATAAAACAAAGAGACTAGAAAGCATCACAGCCTAGGCTGTGGTGACTTAAATTTGGCCACGGCCAAGGCCCTGGCAGAAAATATTAAGGTGTTTTTGTTAGTTTTTTTTTTTTTCTTTTTCACTTAGGATTCTTTTGGGTATTTAAGTATAATGGAGATTAGTTGTCAATGACGAATATTGCATATTTTGGAGCAGAGAAGACACATTCTTGGGGCTTGAAGACTAAAAATTAGATTTAAGAGTTTGATTTTTGTTTATTTTTCAAGTCTAAATATGTTTTTTTCTTCTCTGTTTTTTTCTTTGTTCTTAGGATGGAGTAAATCTCTTTTGTTAGGGGAGGATGAAACCCTAATTATGTTTTAAACAATTTTTATTCTTAATACCAGATTTATGTTTATGAACCCTAATTATGTTTTAAACAATTTTTATTCTTAATACCAGATTTATGTTTATGAATTTGTGCAAGAGTTTAGGTTTAATGTTTTATGAATGTTGGATTGATTTAATTACCTTGATGATGTTTCGAATAGAGAAGTTAGGGTTGATTGCTTAATTCATATTCATAATTGTTTTATTGGAATAACATTGCAAAGCAAATTAAAACTAGAAGTAATCAAATAGAGATTCTAGGATTAATTTGTGTTCCACCTAATTCATACTCGAATAAGGCAAATTAGTTGTAAAGGATTGATGAATTTATGCTTCTTAATTTCAAAGTAACCGAATAGGATCTGTATTAACTTGAATATTATGTCTAAATAAGGATAATTGGTCTTAGAATAATCCTACCAACTCATAGCATAAACATGTATTAAGAGTAGCTGTCAAGCATAATTAGGGGAAAATTTGTACCTTAACTTCATTAATACTGCAAAGTTCTTCACATTGTTTATTTGTTTAATTTATTTATTTTTATCTGTTAGTTTTACACTTATTTGTTAGTTTTACACTCTAAAATTTCGTTTTCTCAAATAACGTGTAGGTGGTTTTAGGTAATTACGAATATTTTCTTTGATCTCTGTGGGACGATACTCAAACTTATCACTTTATTACTTAAACACGACTAGTGCGCTTGCTGGGGTTGATTTAGTCGCATCAGGCTACGCAAACCCTAATCGCTCTATTGTTAACAGTTGGTGGAGTCGATAGAAGTAAGGTTTGAGGGGTTTTAGTGAGTGATGATCGGGGAAGAGAATGATGGCAGTTTTGGATCACAACGATGTTGGAATCAATCGGCAATTGATGGGGAAGGTGGGAAAGTGTCATTTGGGTGGACAAGTGGTATTTTAAAAATTAGTAGGTGGGAAAATATCTTCATTTTGACATTACACTTGGCAATATTTCAGTTTATTTTGAAACATCCACCTCGTGAAACTTATAGTTTGGGTTAGAGAGACCATTTTAATTGATTTGATCACCCACCAGGTCAAACTTGGTGCCATAAGGTCCCTTTGCTTTCGCATTATTATTGGTAGTCAATCCAAATTATTCAATCAGCCAATGCAAGAAAGAATGGACCACTTATTCTTAAAGCAACATAAGCACATAATTTAATTTGTTAAAAGTATATAAAGAAAAATCCAAAGAAAGAAAAGGCAGAACCAAACACAAAAAAAATTGACTTCTAAAGGAAGGAAAAGGCAAAATTTAATAAAACAGAATTAGTTTGAAATCTGAACAAATTTTATGATATGGAATAAAAAAATATTATATCCACAACCTCTTCTTACAAACTTTCTCTAACAATCCTGATATAGTAGTTCGTAACTAATCAGCTCGTCTTTAGTCTCATCTGATAAATTATCGAACTGTCACGTTGGAGTTACAAAAGAAAGCGTGTGAAAAGAGGTTATGGATATAACATTACTCTATAGAATAACTTATGGGCATCAAAATCATAGCAACGTATCAAACCAAACTTGGACAAACTATAGATAGAATATTATGTTTTTCATTCATAATTTATGATTTTTCATTGAACAAGGATTTGTCATTCTTTTCTTCTCTTCGTTCAACACTCTCACTCAAACATCACTAAAAAAATAAAAAAATAAAAAAAAATAATTAAAAAAAAAATAAAATTAAAATAAAAAAATAATAACAAAAAATTAAAATAAAAAAAATGACAAAAAAAAAAAATAAAAAAGAAAATAATAAGTAAAAAATAAATAAAAAAAAAACAAAAATGAACAAATATGAACAAATAAGAAAAAAAAAATAAAAATAAATAAAAAAAAATAATAAAAAAAATATATTAAATAATATATATATAAAAATAAACAAAAATAAAAAACAGGATTAAACACAGCCCATAACTGAACGATACTAGGAACGTCACTGTTTACGTTACTGTTGCCGATAAGTTGACTATTCCTCATCTTGCGATTGGAGTCCCTCAACAAATAGAAGTTACCAAAAAGGACCTCCATCTCTTCAAGGGTTTTACCCTGTGTTTCCGGGAACATAGTATAAAAGAACACCCAGGACACAAATGCGACTCCCGTGAAAAGGAAGAAGGCTCCGCCGATTGTTATGGCATTGTAAAGGGATAAGAAAGACATACACACGACCCCACTTACAAACCTATTCATTGCAACTCCCATACTCGCTCCCTGAGCTCGTAGCTTAAAAGGGAAGATCTCAGAGCTGTAGACCCACGCGATGGGCCCCATCCCTATCGCGAAGAACCCGACGAATGATAACACTGTGGTGATGGCTAATCCAACAGCCCATGGTAACTTTACGTGTGAGTGATCAATGACCGTTAAAGAGAATCCAAGGGTGGCGAGGGACAGGATCATACCCCCCATACTACTCAAAATCAATGGCCGTCGTCCGATTCTATCAAGCAAAAACGTAGCCACTAAGATGAAAATAGTCTTCGAAAATCCGACGGCTACAGTTGCGAGTAACTTATCGTCATCAGATGTAATCCCGGCTTTTTCAAAGATCCTGGGACTGTACAAGACGACGGCGTCTATGCCCGACGCCTGCTGAAAGAAATGAATACCAATGGCGCAGATTAAAATGTGACGAACCGTCGGTGTAGGATGAAGGAATAGCTCTCTCCATACACCCTCACCGTGGCTACGTTTCTCAACCCGAACGACATCGTCGTTGCATTCTTGGGGAATGCCAGCAGCTTCTTTAATATCCGCGAGTCTTAAGGCGGCTTCGTCTTTGGAGTTGGAGGTTTTGTCGAGGACTTTCCTGGCGTCTCCGAGTCGACCTTGCATGACCAGCCAACGAGGTGACTCAGGCATGGCCAAGACGCCGACGGCCAACAGCACGGAGGGGATGGCGCTGATGCCAAGCATCATTCGCCATCCCAATTGAAGTGGCAGCTTCGAGAATGCGTAGTTTGAAACGTATCCTAGTAATAGCCCTCCATTAATGAACACCTGTGGTGCAGTTTTTTAGTATTGTAAAGAGTATTTTTTATTGAAAATTCCAGGAAGGTGGCGACTCGTATAATTAATGCGTAAAGTTGTGAAGGAGAAGAAGAACAAAGTAAATTCAAATTACCTCAGGGAAAGAACTGAGGAAACCACGAGAGGCAGCGGGCGAGAGTTCGGAAGTGTAAACAGGAGCAATCATGAGAGCATAACCGACGCCAATTCCAGCAACAAAACGACCCACCATTAGGAACGCATAGTTTGTGGCGAAACCCATCAGCAGAGCTCCTACAAAGAATATGGCTCCCGCTAGTACGATGGTGTAGCGCCGCCCGATCCAGTCGGAGGTTCTGCCGGCTGCCGCCGCACCAAACAGTGAGTAAAGGTTGATGATCCCCACCAGAACCTCCAATTCCACGTCGCTGATTTTGAGGTCCTTTTTTATGTAGATTGCGGCCCCACTCATTACTCCAATGTCTGTCAAACAAAAAAAAAAAAAAAAAACACACATGCATAAGATTTATCAAATCGAAATATTATACAAGTTTCTTTCTTTGTTTATTTTCATTAGTAACTAAGTTTAAGTTACCATAGCCGAGCAAGATGGAAGTCATGGAAGCTAGCATGGCGCAAGCGAAAGCATACTTGTTGCGTTTCGGTTTCTGCGGAGGATCAAAATCTGCAAGGGGTTTGGGACGTTGGTCAGCATGAGTAGTAGTAGCAGCAGTAGTCTGGGCTCCCAGGCTAGCCATGTTTGAAAAACAAGCAAGCTAGCGAGAGAGAAGGAGATTAAGATGTGTATGGTGTTAGCAATCTGGTTTTTGAAGAGTACTGAATTTGAAGCTGCCATGAAAGTTGGAAGAGAGTTGAACTTATATAGAACAAGAAGGAAGGCCAGACGATCGGCTTACATCATTTCTTGGACCAATGAGTCCAACTACACTGTTTATCTATATAGAATTTGAATTTTCAAAGGTGTTGCAGTCTTAAAAGGGTAGGCGACTTTTTCCCACCCCAGGACAAAGGTAGGCTTCTTATTGGTTAGATAATTGATTAACTGATTAATTAATGGACTTCACATTTTTATATAGTCAAGTCAATACTCAAAGTCGAGCCCCCCTTCCTTCCTTGGAATTTACATTTCACATACTCTTCAATTATTGCCTATTTATCCTACTCCGAATGGCACAATTCATGTACTCTTTCCTTTGCTTTCAATGTTTGAAATTATTGGTTACTAAGAAAATGTCACCAAGGCCAAAAAATTTGGTTCTGATGAGTGCTATGAACCAGTTTTAACTTTCAAGTTACAAGGGTTATCTATGTATACTGTTTACACTTCCTTCTATTAAGCTTTTCTTATTTTGCAGTTTGTGTTGTGCCTAATACACGGGGCAGAAGTCAAGTATGCTCTAGCTCGTATGATTTATTAATTTTTTTACTATTTTGAACGGCTACTTGACAAATCGTGTTACTATTATCACTTGTTTGGCTCACTATCTCCCCCAAATCCTTTAGAAAAGTAAATAACTCTCTAGTATCAGTAATAAAGATACATGCAGCAAGGGACGGCTTGTCCATATTGATTTTGGTTTCATTTTGGAAACATCACCTGGTGGAAATATGCGTTTTGAGAGCGCACACTTCAAGCTGAGCCATGAAATGACCCAATTACTAGATCCATCTAGGGTTTTGAAGAGTGATACATGGCATCAATTTGTAAGGTTATGAAAACATTTTCAACAGTTGGATCTTTTTATCTTTATACGTTCTGTTGAAAACTTTTATCTCAAAGTTAATATCGTTAACGACCAAATCTCTGGCTGGAAATAGCCGTACTGCGCACAGAGGTCATTTTCTATCTTCCGTATGCCGTTAGGTTGCCGGCTCCTGGCGGCTAGCGGTGGTTGCTGGTGACCAACAGTGGCTAGGTTGGTAGAGGTGCTTTGTTGATTTTCCAAACTTTTATTATAGGGTTGTTTTTTGCTAAGTTTTTAAATGCATGGGGTTTATAATAATCAATATTAAAAAATAATATAATGATAATATTTAATTAAAGGACAATTCAATAATTTAAATAACATACTCATCAATTTATTTCTCTCAACCAAACATATTAATATAACATACTCAATAATTAACCAAACATATTTTCCTAAAGATTCCCAGAATCTTCAAGGTAATCTAACTTTTTAGTAATCCAACATTTTCAATAATCTAATATTCCTTGAATCAAACACCCCCTAAGGGTTATCTTGCTGCTCGTCGTTACATGGACAGTATCATTAACACCGTGCTGTTAATGCTACACAATGGATTACCTTGCTTTAGTAGAGGTGACTCAATTGGAAATCTTCGCAAGAGGTTTCATCCGGAGATGAGTGAACGTGAGGCTGTAATTTCCATTGAGAAATCTTCTTTATAATTCTTTTATTATAGTTGTGATTTTTCCGAGGATCTCCACCGCAGTTTTGGGTAGAAAAGATTTCAGAACCACCACAGCACAGTTGACAACTGATCACTGAGAAAGTGAGAAGAATTAAGCTGGTTGTAACCTACTGGTGGGTTACAAGTGAGGCTTGTAAAAATATAATTCTTCGTTACCCAATTGCTTGAGTAGCCATGATCACCCATCCCTACAGGCTTCAATTATGGATACTATATTATAACTAAAATGGGTCCCTGAATTATATATTGTATGATCTGAATCTCTAAAAGTTTTCATTAAGCTAGTCCTGTGTCAGATTCCCAACCACGTCTCGATTATTTGCATGGACTCTCTTTGTCTTCATCTAAGACAATGACTGCAACTACAGCCTCCATCTCTGCCTGTCTCTTACATGTTCATTTATTCATTCATTTTCATTTGTTCTATAAATATATACCTATACCAAGTTAAATTTTGAGGGCCAATGTGTTTCAATATTTGTTATGTTCTTGCTGGCTTCAATCTTCATTTTGACATTAGGTTAGGAAATATCTCAATTGATTTTGAAACACCCACCTAGTGAAACTTATTATTTGGGTTAGACAAGTAAGATTTAAAGTGGCCACATGCCACAATCATTCAGTTAATGTTATGCAGTTAAGACAGTTGTTCAGTTAAAGAGCAGTTTTAAGGAGTTATTCAAGGTAAACGATCTATCTTAATCCTTGATAGAAGTTATGAAAGGTAGTTGCTAGGAACAGAATATCAGTTATAACTAGCATAGGCTAGAAGACATCTCTCAAACATTCTCTCACAAATCATCATCCTGAAATCACATTTGGTTACTTTTATCACTTAGGTTAGCAACAATCTACATTTAAAGTTGCAAGAGAAAGCTTGTAAAAAAAGGTTGTGGATGTAGCATTACTCTATAGAATAACTTGTGGGCATCAAAATCATAGCAACGTATCAAACCAAACTTGGACAAACTATAGATAGAATATTATGTTTTTCATTCATAATTTATGATTTTTCATTGAACAAGGGTTAGTCATTCTTTTCTTCTCTTCGTTCAACGCTCTCACTCAAACATCACTATCTTTTTAGAAAGCTATACTAAAATATTTAAAACATAATTATATTTATAGTAATACTATACTCGCAAACCCTTCTCATTAGATTTTTGTCACAAAAATGACATGTCAACGCAATTGGTCAGTTCGTAATAGATTTTGTCTGTCCAACAATGGTCTTGTTTGACCAAATATGAGTTATCACGTCAACGTTTGTAAAAATAAATTGTAAGAAGTGTTTATTAACTTATCTTTATTTTTATATTTACCAAATTACCCTCCAGGTTTAAACACCGCCCGTAACTGAACGCTACTAGGACCGTCACTGTTTCCGTTACTGTTGCCGATAAGTTGACTGTTCCTCCTCTTGCGGTTGGAGTCCCTCAACGAATCGAAGTTACCAAAAAGGACCTCCATCTCTTCAAGGGTTTTACCCTGTGTTTCCGGGAACATCGTATAAAAGAACACCCAGGACACCACTGCGACTCCCGTGAAAAGGAAGAAGGCTCCGCCGATTGTTATGGCGTTGTAAAGGGGTAAGAAAGCCATACTCACGACCCCACTTACAACCCTATTCATTGCAACTCCCATACTCGCTCCCTGAGCTCGTAGCTTCAACGGGAAGATCTCAGAGCTGTAGACCCACGCGATGGGCCCCATCCCTATCGAGAAGAACGCCATGGTCATGGCTAATGCAACAGCCCATGGTAACTTTACGTGTGAGTGATCAATGACCGTTACAGAGAATCCGAGGGTGGCGAGGGACAGGATCATACCCCCCATACTACTCAAAATCAATGGCCGTCGTCCGATTCTATCAATCAAAAACGTAGCCACTAAGATGAAAATAGTCTTGGAAAATCCGACGGCTACAGTTGCGAGTAACTTATCGTCATCAGATGTAATCCCGGCTTTTTCAAAGATCCTGGGACTGTACAAAACGACGGCGTCTATGCCCGACGCCTGCTGAAAGAAATGAATACCAATGGCGCAGATTAAAATGTGACGAACCGTCGGTGTAGGATGAAGGAGGAGCTCTCTCCATACACCCTCACCGTGGCTACGTTTCTCAACCCGAACGACGTCGTCGTTGCATTCTTGGGGAATGCCAACAGCTTCTTTAATATCGGCGAGTCTTAAGGCGGCTTCGTCTTTGGAGTTGGAGGTTTTGTCGAGGACTTTCCTGGCGTCTCCGAGTCGACCTTGCATGACCAGCCAACGAGGTGACTCAGGCATGGCTAAGACCCCGACGGCCAACAGCACGGAGGGGATGGCGCTGATGCCAAGCATCATTCGCCATCCCAATTGAAGTGGCAGCTTCGAGGAATGCGTAATTTGAAACGTATCCTAGTAATAGCCCTCCATTAATGAACACCTGTGGTGCAGTTTTTTAGTATTGCAAGAGTAATTTTTATTGAAAATTCCAGGAAGGTGGCGACTCGTATAATTAATGCGTAAAGTTGTGAAGGAGAGAATAACAAAGTAAATTCAAATTACCTCAGGGAAAGAACGTGAGGAAACCACGAGAGGAAGCGGGCGAGAGTTCGGAAGTGTAAACAGGAGCAATATGAGACATAACCGACGCCAATTCCAGCAACAAAACGACCCACCATTAGGAAGCATAGTTTGTGGCGAAACCCATCAGCAGAGCTCCTACAAAGAATATGGCTCCCGCTAGTACGATGGTGTAGCGCCGCCGATCCAGTCGGAGGTTTGCCGGCTGCCGCGCACCAAACAGTGAGTAAAGGTTGATCCCCCAGAACTCCACTTCCACGTCGCTGATTTTGGGTCCTTTTTTATGTAGATTGCGGCCCCACTCATTACTCCAATGTCTGTCAAACAAAAAAAAAAAAAAAAAACACATGCAAAGATTATCAAATCTCAATATTATACAAGTTTCTTTCTTTGTTTATTTTCGTTAGTAATTAAGTTAAGTTACCATAGCCGAGAAGATGGAAGTCATGGAAGCTAGATGGAGCAAGCGAAAGCAAACTTGTTGCGTTTTCGTTTTGGGGAGGATCAAAATCTGCAAGAGTTTTGGGACGTTGGTCAGTAGTTAGCTGGTATTCTGGCTCCCAGGCTAGCCATGTTTGAAAAAAAGCAAGCTAGCGAGAGAGGAAGAGAACGAGATTAGGTGGAATTTGAAGCTATGCCATGAGTTGGAAGAGAGTTGAACTTTATAGACAAGAAGGAAGTCCAGACTTCGGCTTTCAGACCAATGAGTCCAACTACACTGTTATCTACATGAATTTGAATTTTCAAAGGTGTTGCGGTTTTAAAAGGATAAGCGCGGCGTTTTTACCCAAGGACTAAGGTAGGCTTTTATTAATTAGATAATTGACTAATTGATTAATTAGGTAATTACTTAATGGACTTCATATTTTTATAGTCAAGTCAATAATCAAAGTCGAGCCCCCTTCCTTCCTTGCAATTTACATTCACATATTCTTTCAATTATGCCGATTTATCCTACTCCGAATTTTTATTTTTATCATTAGAAAAAATAATAAAAAATCAATTATTGACACTGCTAGATTTGTAAAAGCATGGTTAATTTCTGATTTTTTACAGCCTGCCGCGAACTTACAAATTCATTTGGGTTTCTGAATCTTCTAGTCAACAAATTATTTATCTTTTTATTAGTACTGTGATAAAGTGTATACTTTAAAGGTAATGAAAACATTTTCTACAGTTGGATCTTTTTATCTTTCTACGTTCTGTTGACAACTTTTATCTCAAAGTTGATGCCGATATTTTGTACATGAATAGCTTGTGTATTAAGGGTTATCTTGCTGCTCGTCGTTACATGGACAGTATCATCAACACCGTGTTGTTAATGCTAGACAGTGGATTACCTTGCTTTAGTAGAGGTGACTCAATTGGATATCTTCGCAAGAGGTTTCATCCGGAGATGAGTGAACGTGAGGCTGCAATTTCCATGAGAAATCATCTTTGTAATTCTTTTATTATAGTTATGATTTTTCCGAGGATCTCCACCGCAGTTTTGGGTAGAAAATATTTCAGAACCACCACAAGACAGTTGACAACTGATCGCTGAGAAAGTGAGAAGAATTAAGCTGGTTGTAACCTAGTGGTGGGTTCTTAAGTGAGTAGCCATGATCACCAATCCCTACAGGCTTCAATTATGGATACTATATTATAACTAAAATGGGTCCCTGAATTATATATTGTATGATCTGAATCTCTAAAAGATTTTCATTAAGCTGGTCCCGTGTCAGATTCCCAGACCACATCTCCATTATTTGCATGGACTTTCTTTGTCTTCGACAATGACTACAACTACAGCCTCCATCTCTGCCCATCTCTTACCCATCTCTTACATGTTCATTTATTCATTCATTAATTTCATTTGTTCTATAAAATATATAACTACACCAAGTGAAATTTTGAGGGCCAATGTGTTTCAATATTTGTTATATATGTTCTTGCTGGGTTCAATCTTCATTTTGACATTAGGTTAGGAAATATTTCAATTGATTTTGAAACACCCACCTAGTGAAAAGATTTAAAATGGCCACATGCCACAATTATATAGTTAACATTATGTAGTGAAGACAATTATTCAGTTAACATTATGTAGTTAAGGAGTAGTTTTAAGGAGTTATTCAAGGTAAACTGTCTATCTTAGTCCTTGATAGAAGTTATGAAAGGTAGTTGTTGGGAACAGAATATCAACTATAATTGGCATAGGTTAGAAAACATCTCTCAAACATTCTTTCACAAATCATCATCCTGAAATTTACATTTGGTTACTTTTATCTCTTAGGTTAACAACAATATACATTTGACTTCTATCATCTCTGGATTGATTCTCTTATAACGCTTGGACAATATGGTTGGAGGTAAGTAATCTAGATTCGCATTAAGAATATATACATTCAGTTATTTCCAGTTCCACATTAAGTATATGTACATTTAGTTATTTCCACAAGACACTATATGAGAGACCATTTTGACATTAGGCTTACAATATTTCAATTGATTTGATCACCCACCAGATAAAACATGGTGAGACTTTATGGAATTCTACTCCAAAACCAAAAGAACAAAAACACATTTCAAACAGTATTCAAATTTTCCAAAGTCGAAAATGACTAAACAGAAAACCCAAAATTTGCAAATCAAAATTCTGATACGCAAGCTGATTGGACACTTCTTAAACTTGTCATGTAGTAGAAGGTTAACTTTTCTTGTAGTAATACTGTAAGCCAAACTTTAGAAATAGGAAACATAACACATGTGCAAGAATTAATATAAGGTCTCCTTTGCTTTTGCATTATTATTGGTAGTCAATTCAATCAACCCATGCAAGCTATTGGACCACTCATTCTTAAAGCAACATAACCACATAATTTAATTTGTTAAAAATATATAGAGAAAATAAGAAAGGGCAGAACCAAACACAAAAGAAATGACTTCAAAAGTAAGGAAAAGCACATAAACAAAAACAAAAAAAATAGCTACCATCCCCACCTCAAAGGATCCAATCACATGCCAATTTTCAACGTTAATTGCTTTCATAATCAAACTCAATTTGTCGATCACAACATTCAGCTTCCCAAAATTTTTTTTTTTTTTATGGTCGGGAGTTTCCAGATCAACTTACGCGTACCTCAATTAATCCTCCAGACTCTAGAACTACTAGCCGAGAAAGAACTCCAGTGGCTATCGCTATTTAACACCTGAAGAGGAACTCGAATAGAGATGGGCGTTTGCCTCAGCCCCGCAGGGATCCAGACCGACCTGGCCCGAATGGGGCGGGGAATCCCCGAAAAATTCGAGGATAGGGCCGGGGATGGTCCTCAAGAAAAACCCCGCAGCCGAGGGAGGGGATAGTGCAATCCCAACCCCGGCTCGACCCGACCCATCCCTGTGAAGCCCTGCTCGCCCCGCCCCTCTTTTTTAGGAATTTTATGTTTTTTTTTTTTTTTTTTGTTCCCTTTGCGAGATTGTAGATAAAATTCGAACTTAAATCATGGTTTTAAGTAATGTATCTAAATTTATGATATTTACTTTTATAATGTTTGTATTAAATTTATAAAAAAATAATTTAATAAGGGAGTCTAATAATTAAATATATGTATTATTACTTTGTGAATTTCACAAAATAATAAACATGGCCCAAACAATTTTTTTATTAGATTATTATAATTTACCAAACCAATATATTATGAGGTTTATGTTGCAATGGATGATTTGAGTATATTATGAGGTTTATGTTGCAGCCTGAAGGATGTTTATATTTTATTGTTTTGAAATCCATGAGCATGTCTCAATTTTTGCTAAGAAATTGTTGTTATTCACAATATTCATATCAATTCTCAGTGAAATTTTTTTTCAAGTATTTATTTTATGAATTTTAGCAAATGAGACTATTTCAGTGGAATATTACAATGCCTCAGCAACATAAAACATCAGAATGTGGAATCTAAATTCCTCTATTTAGTACTATATAGAAAAGGTGTCACTAACTTAGTAACAATTAAATTAGTTTATGGTGGTAGTTATGTATTACTTTTTAAATCTTAATTTAAATTTTACAAGAAATTGTTGATTTTATATTTTCTTACCATAAATTTAGCCTTTTTAATGAATTAACTACTAAAATTAAGCAGTCAAATATAGTACCTAGTAACATGCTAGTTTCTCAATATTAAAATAATTATAATAATTTAATATCATTGTCGTGAGAACATGCAGAAAGTTTTGATCTACAAGGGCCAAAAATCCCCGTTCGGGGGATAAATCCCCGTGGGAGAAATTTCCCGCAAAGCCCTATTCATCAAGTTGGGCTGGGCCGGGATGGGATTGATTCCATCCCCATGGGTCGGGGACGATCATGAGAAAAATCCCCTCCCACGGGGATGGGTCGGGGATGGTCATGGGAGTAGATAACGGGGACGGGGAAAGGGAAGGGGGTCCTTGGCCCGCGCCTATCCCTAAACTCGAATTCATGACCTCTTGAGTAATACACTAAAGAGTTCCAATCGACCCAGTCATTAGCTTCCTAATTGTTGCACCTTTTCCCGTTTTCCCCTAATATAGGACAAATCATTGTACCCAAACAACAGTAAGCAAAGATATTGCTCCACCAAAATTTTCATCCTTATTTGGTGATACCCAAATGGATTTCAATTAAAACATTCATTTATTTAGGAGGTGTTTGGTTTCTTTGTTTTTAAATTCTTTCTTTTTTTTTTTTGTTGGTAACCGGGGTATCCGAGCTAACTTGTGCGCATCTCAATTAATCCTCAGGGTATTGAACACCTTACAAGCTCAAAGAACTAAGTAAATCACAATGTGATAGGTGACTCCAAAGTTTGAACCCAAAAACTCAAAGAAGGGAGCAAACCTCCTTAATGGTCAAGTTTAATAAAACTGAACCTGGACAAAATCATAGCAACGTAACAAACCAAACTTGGACAAACTATAGATAGAATATAATGTATTTCACTGCATAATTTATGATTTTTCATTGCATAAGGGTTTGTCATTTTTTTCTTCTCCTCCTTCATCTCTCTTCACTCAAACATCACTATCGTTTTAGAAAGCTACACCAAAATATTTAAAATAGCATCATATTTACCAAGTTACCCTCTAGTTAGTAATGGGCTTAGACACCGGCCCTAACTAAACGTTACTAGAACCGTCACTGTTTTTGTTACCGTTGCCGAAAAGTTGAGTGTTTCTCTTCTTGCGCTTGGAATCCCTCAACCAATGGAAGTTACCGAAAAGGACCTACATCTCGTCAAGGGTTTTACCCTGTGTTTCCGGAAGCATGGTATAAAAGAACAGCCAGGCTACCGTTGCTATTCCCGTGAAAAGGAAGAAGGCTCCGCCGATTGATATGGCCTTGTAAAGGGATAAGAAAGTCGTTGCCATGACCCCACTTACAACCCTATTCATTGCAACTCCCATACTCGCTCCCTGAGCGCGTAGCTGCAACGGGAAGATATCTGAGCTATAGACCCACGTGATGGGCCCCCTTCTGATCGAGAAGAATGCATCGTATGATAACACCGTGGTGAGGGCTAATCCTACAGCCCATGGTAACCTTACGTGGGAGTGATCAATGACCGTTAAAGAGAATCTGAGGGTGGCAAGGGACAGGATCATACTCGCCACACTACTCAAAAGCAACGGCCGCCGTCCGATCCTATCAAGCAAAAATGTAGCCACTAAGATGAAAAGAATCTTGAGAAATCTGACGGCTACTGCTGCGAGTAACTTGAGGTTATCAGATGTAATCCTGGCTTTTTCAAAGATCCTGGGACTGTACAAAACGACAGCGTTCATACCCGACGACTGTTGGAAGAAATGAATACCAATGGCACAGATTAAATAATGACGAACCGCCGGTGTAGGATGAAGGAGGAGCTCTCTCCATACACCCTCCCCGTGGCTACGTTTCTCAACCCAAACGACGTCGTCGTTGCATTCTTGGGGAATGCCAACAACTTCTTTAATATCGGCAAGTCTTAAGGTGGCTTCGTCTTTAGAGTCGGAGGTTCTGTTCAGGACTTTCCTGGTGTCTCCAAGCTAACCCTGCATGACCAGCCAACGAGGTGACTCAGGCATGGCTAAGACACCGACGGCCAACAGCACGGAAGGGATGGCGCTGATGCCAAGCATCATTTGCCATCCCAAGTGAAGTGGCAACTTCGAGAATGCGTAGTTTGAAACGCATCCCAGTAGTCCCCCTCCATTAATGAACTCTTGTGGTGCAATAATAAAAGCTATTTTTAGTATTGGAAGAGTACATTTTTATTGAAAATTCCAAGAGGGTGGCGACTTTACGAGCTCTTAGGGTAGTGGATTTTGCCCAGGCAGCCTCCGTGCTCTCACATTATTTGTGAAAACTTAAAAAAAATCATAAAAGTAAATAAAATAATACAATATCAGTAATATGAAAGAAAATAATATACTAACACAATACTTTATCACTTGGATAAATTTATGAGAAACAAAACCTTAAGCAAATTGAAAATAACATCTAATTCACGAGGAAACATAAGAAAATTTTTACGTGGAAAAACCTCTTCAATTAAAGAAAGCAGAAAACCATAGGAATCTAACGATTCACTTAAATCCAATATAATTAAAAGAGTTTACAACAATTACAATCCAACAAAAATGTTCTACACAAATTTCTTATTTCTCTTTTTTTTGTTTTTTTTGGTTTTTTTTTTTTTTTGGTTTTTTTTTTGGTTTTTTTTTTTTTTTGCTTTCAAAGATTATAATATAAATTTTCATGACTTTGATCAGGCCTAGTATAAGCGAAAGTCAACCAAAACTTAAATTAAGTCAACGTTGCCTTAACTTTTAAAATGAATTAATAAAAAAAAGGAAAATTTTCTTAGTATAAACATAGATAATAACTTAATCTTCTTTAATAATTTTGAGAAACTAAACGGTGACGTTTGAAATGTGGGAAAGTGGTGGGTGAAGGGTGAAGAATAACATTCAATAAAATATAGTTAAAATTTAATTTGGGAAAGCAAGAACATTCTTAAAAACAAAACAAACTCACAAGATCTATGTCTTTTTCCATCAAATTAAAATAAAAAAAACTCCAAAACATAAGTATGATTCAACCCTAAAATAAACTAAAATGAAATAAGCAATACACATACTTAAAACTGATAAAATATAAAATAAATCTAATTGTAGTACCTTGATTAATGAAAGCTTTAACAATTTTAGTCTTCAAAAGTTTTAAGAACGAATAACATAAAGAAAGTGAATGAGAGAGTAAAGAATTTAAAGATAAAATCGTAAAAAAAATCACAAGGCCGGCAAAAATCCCCGTTCGGGGAGTAAATCCCGTGGGGGAAAATTCCCCGCGAAGCCACTATCATCAAGTCGGGCGGGTCGGTATGGGATGATTCTACCTACAGGCCGACGGGGACGATCATGAGAAAAATCCCCTCCACGGGGAGGGGCGGGATGGTCATGGGAGTAGATAACGGGGACGGGGAAAGGGAAGGGGGTCGGCCCGCGCCATCTCTAAACTCGAATTATGACCTCTTGAGTAATACATTAAAAAGTTCCAATCGAACACTCATTAGCTTCCTAATTGTTGCACCTTTTCGTTTTCCCCTAATATAGGAAAATCATTGTACCCAAACAACAGTAAGCAAAGATATTGCTCCACCAAAATTTTCATCTTATTTGGTGATACCAAATGGATTTCAATAAAACATTCATTTATTTAGGAGGTGTTTGGTTTCTTTGTTTTAAATTCTTTTTTTTTTTTTTGTGGTAACCGGGTATCCGAGCTAACTTGTGCGCATCTAATAATCCTCAGGTATTTGAACACCTTACAAGCTCAAAGAAAAAGTAAGGAAAAGCACATAAACAAAAACAAAAAAAATAGCTACCATCCCCACCTCAAAGGATCCAATCACATGCCAATTTTCAACGTTAATTGCTTTCATAATCAAACTCAATTTGTCGATCACAAGTTCACAACATTCAGCTTCCCAAATTTTTTTTTTTTTTTTATGGTCGGGAGTTTCCGGATCAACTTACGCGTACCTCAACTAATCCTCGAGACTCTGGAACTACTGGCCGAGAAAGAACTCCAGTGGCTACCGCTATTTAACACCTGAAGAGGAACTCGAATAGAGATGGGCGTTTGCCCCAGCCCTGCGGGGATCCGGACCGACCCCGCCCTAATGGGACGGGGAATCCCCAAAAAATTCGGGGATAGGGCCGGGGATGGTCCTCAAGAAAAACCCCGCAGCCGAGGATGGGCCGGGGGAGGGGATAGTGCAATCCCCAGCCCGGCTCGACCTGACCTGTCCCTGTGAAGCCCCGCCCCTCTTTTTTAGGAATTTTATGTTTTTTTTTGTTCCCTTTGCGAGATTTAGATAAAATTAGAATTTAAATCATGCTTTTATGTAATGTATCTAAATTTATGATATTTACTTTTATAATACTTTCTAATGTTTGTATTTAATTTATTAAAAAAATAATTTAACGAGGGAGTCTAATAATTAAATATATATATTATTACTTTGTGAATTTCACAAAATAATAAACATGGCCCAAGCAAATTTTTAATTAGATTATTATAATTTACAAAACCAATATATTATAAGGTTTATGTTGCAATGGATGATTTGAGTATACTATGAGGTTTATGTTGCAGCCTGAAGGATGTTTATATTTTATTGTTTTGAAATCCATGAGCATGTCTCAATTTTTGCCAAGAAATTGTTGTTATTCACCATATTCATATCAATTCTCAGCGAAATTTTCTTTCAGGTATTTATTTTATGAATTTTAGCAGATGAGACTATTTCAGTGGAACATTACAATGCCTCAGCAACATAAAACATCAGAATATGGAATCTAAATTCCTCTATTTAGTACTATATAGAAAAGGTGTCACTAACTTAGTAACAATTAAATTAGTTTATGGTGGTAGTTATGTATTGCTTTTAAAATCTTAATTTAAATTTTACAAGAAAATGTTGATTTTATATTTTCTTACCATAAATTTAGCCTTTTTAATGAATTAACTACTAAAATTAAGCAGTCAAATATAGTACCTAGTAACGCGCTAGTTTCTCATAATTAAAATAATTTAATATCAATGTCGTGAGAGCATGCAGAAAGTTTTGATCTACACGGGGGCAAAAATCCCCGTTCGGGAGATAAAATCCCGTGGGGGAAAATTCCCCGCGAAGCCTATTCATCAAGTAGGGCTGGGTGGTATGGGATTGATTCTATCCCTACGGGCGAGGACGATCATGAGAAAACCCCTCCCACGGGGATGGGCGGGGGATGGTCATGTGAGTAGATAACCGAGACGGGGAAAGGGAAGGGGGTCCCCGGCCCGCGCACATCTCTAAACTCGAATTATGACTCTTGAGAATACACTAAAAAGTTTCAATCGAACCAATCATTGCTTCCTAATTGTTGCACCTTTTCCCGTTTTCCCCTAATATAGGACAAATCATTGTACCCAAACAAACGTAAGCAAAGATATTGCTCCACCAAAATTTCATCCTTATTTGGTGATACCCAAATGGATTTCAATTAAAACATTCATTATTTAGGAGGTGTTTGGTTTCTTTGTTTTTAAGTTTAGGGACTGTACAAAACGACAGCTTTCACACCCGACGACTGTTGGAAGAAATGAATACCAATGGCACAGATTAAACAGTGCGAACCGCCGGTGTAGGATGAGGAGGAGCTCTCTCCATACACCCTCCGTGGCTACGTTTCTCAACCCAAACGACGTCGTCGTTGCATTCTTGGGGAATGCCAACAACTTCTTAATATCGGCAAGTCTTAGGTGGCTTCGTCTTTAGAGTCGGAGGTTCTCTAGGATTTCCTGGTGTTCCAAGCTGACCCTGCATGACCAGCCAACGAGGTGACTCAGGCATGGCTAAGACGCCGACGGCCAACAGCACGAAGGGATGGCGCTGATGCCAAGCATATTTGCCATCCAAGTGAAGTGGCAACTTCGAGAATGCGTGTTTGAAAACGATCCCAGTAGTCCCCCTCCATTAATGAACACTTGGGGTCAATAATAAAGCTATTTTTAGTATTGGAAGGAGTACATTTTATTGAAAATTCCAAGAGGGTGGCGACTTTACGAGCTTTAGGGTAGTGGATTTTGCCCAGGCAGCTCGTGCTCTCACATTATTTGTGAAAACTTAAAAAAATCATAAAAGTAAATAAATAATACAATATCAGTAATATGAAAGAAAATAATATACTAAACACAATACTTTATCACTGGATAAATTTATGAGAAAACAAAACCTTAAGCAAATTGAAAATAACATCTAATTCAGAGGAAACATAAGAAAATTTTTACGTGGAAAAACTCTTCAATTAAAAAAAGCGAAGAAAACCATAGATCTAACGATTCACTTAAATCCAATTAATTAAAAAAGTTTACAACAATTACAATCCAACAAAATGTTACTACACAAATTTCTATTTCTCTTTTTTTTTTTTTTTTTTTTTTTTTTTTTTTGCTTTCAAAGATTATAATATAAATTTTCATGACTTTGATCAAGCTAGTATAAGCGAAAGTCAACCAAAACTTAAATTAAGTCAAAGTTGCCTTAACTTTTAATATGAATTAATAAAAAAAGGGAAAATTTCTAGTATAAACATAAATATAATCTAATCTTCTTTAATAATTTTGAGAAACTAAATGGTGACGTTTGAAATGTAGGAAAGTGGTGGGTGAAGGAGAAGAATAACATTCAATAAAATATAGTTAAAATTTAATTTGGGAAAGATAAACATTCTTAAACACAAACAAACTCACAAGATCTAGTCTTTTTCCATCAAATTAAAATAAAAAAAACTCCAAAACATAAGTATGATTCAACCATAAATAAACTAAAAATGAAATAAGCAATACCCATACTTAAAACTGATAAATATAAAATAAATCTAATTGTAGTACCTTGATAATGAGCTTTAACAATTTTAGTCTTAAAAAGTTTTAAGAACGAATAACATAAAGAAAGTGAATGAGAGAGTAAAGAATTTAAAGATAAAATCGTAAAAAAAAAGGTGGATATGAAAAAGAGTTGAGAGAATTTTAAACTTTTAATATAATGTAAGCATGAAATATATATATTAATGGTAAGTTTTTTATAAGTCAGGATATATATAATATTTCTTATTTTTTTAAAATTTGAAGGTAGACGTAAATATATATATTAATAAAAAAATTTAGGGGCTATATAAACAAATTTTTTTTTTTTTTTTCTAAATGTGAGGGTAGGCCTTAGGGGTGGAAAAAAAAACCCGAAAACCGAACCGGACCGCGAAACCGGACCGAAACCGAACCGGACCGCGAAACCAGGCCGAAACCGAATCGAAAATTCAGTTTTTTTTTTTGTTTCGGTTCGGATATTAAAAAAACGAGATATTCGGTTCGGTTTCGATTTTTGAAAAAAAGAAAACCGGTTACCCGGAACCGGTTTTATGAACCGAAATTTTAAAAAAATGATTGCATTTTAATTTTTACGTTTTTATTTTGCATTTGCATTTGCAATTCCAAACCCTAACACCATCTAACACTCTCACAGTCTCAACTCTCACAATCTCACTCAGTCTCAGACACTCACTTCACTTAGTTCACTACCTTTAGTCTTCATCAGTCTTCACTACTCAGTCTACTCCAGTCTCCATTCTCCAGCTTGGCAGACGGTAGCTTCACTGCTCCAGTACGAGTCTACTCCAATCTCCACTCTCCAGCTCGGCATACGGCAGCTCCACTGCTCCAGTACGGCAGTACTCAGATCTTAGACGCACTTGCGCTGGCGTCGGTACTCAGACACTCACCTCAGACCCCAGTAACCGTCAGTCTCTCTCTCACACTCTCAGAGTCTCTGTCTCACTTGTCAGTTCTCACGCCGGAGTCATGCAGTCACGCTGGAGTCTCTCACTCTCAGTTCTCAGATCTGTTGCTTAACGGTCGGCACGGCAGTCACCAGTTGCGGTCACCATTCTTCTTCCTTCACCAAGTCTCCATATCATTGTCTGTTTCCGGTGGGTGACCTCATCTCTTTGGCTTTTTTTCTTTGTATTTGTTGGTGACCTCGCCCACGGCTCAGATATTTGATGTCCTGTAAATTTTTTTTTTAATTATTCTTCTTGTTACAAATTTACAATGTGATGGTAATAACTAATGTGATGTACTCAATTCATTCTTTTATTTATTCTTCAATAATTTGGACATCTAATCAAGCAGTCTCTAGTTAATTTATTCTTGGTTTGAGGTTGATTGATACCTCTTGTGTTATTATTACTTCCTATCAATGTCTATTTTATTTATGTCAATCTTTTATCTTCTNATATAAATTTTCATGACTTTGATCAGACCTAGTATAAGCTAAAGTCAACCAAAACTTAAATTAAGTCAACGTTGCCTTAACTTTTAATATGAATTAATAAAAAAAGGGAAAATTTTCTTAGTATAAACATAGATAATAACTCAATCTTCTTTTATAATTTTGAGCAACTAAACCGTGACGTTTGAAATGTAGGAAAGTGGTGGGTGAAGGGTGAAGAATAATGTTCAATAAAATATAGTTAAAATTTAATTTGGGAAAGCAAGAACATTCTTAAACACAAAACAAGCTCACAAGATCTATGTCTTTTTCCATCAAATTAAAATAAAAAACCTCCAAAACATAAGCATGATTCAACCCTAAAATAAACTAAAATAAAATGAGAAATACACATACCTAAATCTGATAAAATAGAAAATAAATCTAATTGTAATACCTTGATTAGTGAAAGCTTTAACAGTTTTAGTCTTCAAAAGTTTTAAAAACGAATAACATAAAGAAAGTGAATGAGAGAGTAAATAATTTTAAAGATAAAATCGTAAAAAAATAGGTGGACATGAAAAAGAGTGGAGAGAGTTTTAAACTTTTTAATATAACGTAGGCGTGAAATATATATATTAATAACAAGTTTTTTATAAGTTTGGATATATATATATAATATTTCTTTTTTTTTTTTTTTTTAATTTGAACTTAGATGTAAATGTATATTAATAAAAAAATTTAAGGGCTATATAAACAATTTTTTTTTTTCTAAATGTGAGGGTAAGCCTGGTGTACCCTCTAAAAGGCCGATCCGCCCTGTCTTAGGGCATCTTGAAATGCATTAATTGATCGTTTATGGGAGAATATAGTAATATACTAATCTGGAAAATTAATGCGATAGGTTGTGAAGGGGAAGAAGAACAAAGTGAATTCAAGTTACCTCAGGCAAAGAACTGAGGAAGCCACGAGAGGAAGCGGGCGAAACTTCGGCAGTGTAAATAGGAGCGATCATGAGAGCATAACCGGCGCCAATACCAGCAACAAAACGACCCACCATTAGGAATGCATAGTTTGTGGCGAAACCCATCAGCAGAGCTCCTGCAAAGAATATGGCCCCAGCTAGTACGATGGTGTAGCGCCGCCCGATCCAGTCGGAGGTTCTGCCGGCTGGCGCCGCACCAAACAGTGAGTAAAGGTTGATGGTCCCCACCAGAACCTCCACTTCCACGTCGCTGATTTTGAGGTCCTTTTTTATGTAGATTGCCGCCCCACTCATTACTCCAATGTCTGTCAAACAAAAAAAAAAAAAAACACACACATGCATAAGATTTTATCAAATCTCAATATTATACAAGTTTCTTTCTTTGTTTATTTCCGTTACTAATTAAGTTAAGTTACCATAGCCGAGAAACATGGAAGTCATGGAAGCTAGAATGGAGCAAGCGAAAGCAAACTTGTTGCGTTTTTGTTTCTGGGGAGGATCAAAATCTGCAAGAGTTTTGGGACGTTGGTCAGTAGCTGTATTCTCCGCTCCCAGGCTAGCCATGTTTGAAAACAAGCAAGCTGGCGAGAGAAAGAGAGAAAAGGAGATTAAGAGTGTATGGTGTTAGCTATCTGGTTTTTGAAGAGTGAATTTGAAGCTGCCACGAAAGTTGGAAGAGAGTTGAACTTATCAACAAAGCTACGGATACCGATTATTTTGCACCGAAAATATGTATCGGTCTACGTATACCCCTGACTCACACCAGCAGTCCAGACACCTAATTTTTCTATAAATAATTTTCTAATGAATAGCCGTCCATCAAATATGGACAACCGTTCACTTACATGGACTCCCATCCATATTATATGGACAGGGGTCTATTTACTACGGACGGGTGTCCCCATTTAAAGGACGTCCGTCCATAAGTAAAATAGAATAAATTTTTTTTATAAAAATTAGAGACGGTCATTCATCCGTTATGGACAGCCGTCCCTTCATTTTGGACGGACGCCCGCAAATAAGGGATGCTCGTCCTTAACGAAAATATGAAAATAAAAAAAACTTTGGAGACGGCCATCCATAAATTTTGGACAGTCATCCCTTATATTTGGACGGACATCCATTATTAGGAATGGACGTCCGTCCCTTCCGTTTGGACAGACGTCCATACTTTAAAAAAAAAAAAAAAAAAAAATCTAAACAAAAATAGCAAGCCCCTCTTGTTCTTCGCTCTTCTTCTTCCTCTTCATTCCCCATCTCCTCTCTTTTTCTTCGTCTTCACTCCACAACTCCTCTGAATTAGCCGCCGAATTAGCTGCAATTCCCAGATAATTCCTTATTGAATTTGGGAGTCATTGGTTGCAAAATCAGCTGCATTCTGAGGCTGATAACCGTAAGCTACATTCTGGGGCTGATAATCACGTGCTGCACTCTGAGGCTGATTATGATAACCTGCATTTTGGGGCAGAAAACTCTGAGGTTGGTCTTTCAGGCCAATATTCACATCAATAGCATTGATTGGATTATATGCTGGGAAAGAAAACCCAAGCGAGGCCATTAAGCTTGTGGTTGCAGAAGCAACATCCTGGGGCAGAAAACTCGGGGTTTGTTCTTTGAGATTGACCTGCACATTGTTAGCATTTGTTGAATTATATGCAGGAAATGAATACCCATCTGAAGTCATGTTGCTTCTTGTTTCAGGATGAGCGACATTCTGGTTCTGGAGCTGGTAACCTCTGGAACTGATAGCTTGCTTCTGAAGGCTGAGACACTCTTCGATTCTCTCAAGTGTATTATATTGTAGATAGGTATTCTTCTCGTTGGAATTCAAAGAGGGTGTTATCGCTGTTGTTCCTACCCCAGCAAGATCGTTCCTGAAAATACTTGGTACGCCTCCATCTGCTCTTGAAATATATTGACTGACAAACTCCTTATAGGCATTTTCTAGTTCACCGTCTATGTATTTATTACGTTCTTCCTGAGACATTCACAAAACATTTCTTAGCCAGCATACTGACAGTTTTATTATGAAACATAAAACAAATCATAAATTCGTAATAGATCTGATTGAGTTGCTGGAATTCCACTATCTTGAGAATGCTTTGGGAAACTAGTTCTTTTGATAGGTAATGTACTACAAATATTTAAAAGGTATACAGACTAAAACATTTGCTTAAAAAAGATTCAAGTATCAACTATCAACAAAGTGACAACTTTAAAAGCTAATAAATCAAAATTAGCCCCCTTTTGCTAAAATCTAAAGCCCAGTAATGAAAAAAATATATATTCCTTTGCAGAAAATTTATTTGCCAGTCATTGCAACAAGTAAAGAACTTACTTGGAGTTTCTGATAAAGTTGTCCGTGCTCTCCTTGTTTTGCTTCTGTAGTTTTCTGGGCTTTGGAGCTTTTGGATTTGGCACGCCTATCTAATAAAACAAAGACGAAGAAGAAGAGAGGAGACGGGGAATGAAGACGAAGAAGAAGAGGGGCTTGCTATTTTTGTTTAGAATTTTTTTTTTTTTTTTTAAATGTGAACGGACGTCCATTCCTAATGGATGCCTATCCAAACGTAAAGAACGGCCGTCCAAAATTTATGGACGGCCATCCTCAAAGTTTTTTTTTTTATTTTCATATTTCAGTTAAGGACGGGCGTCCCTTATTTGTGGGTGCCCGTCCAAAATGAAGGAACGGTCATCCATAACGGATGAACGGCCGTCCCTAATTTTTATAAAAAAATTCATTCCATTTTACTTATGGAGGGGCGTCCTTTAAATGGGGACGCCCGTCCGTAGTAAATAGATCCCCGTCCATATAATATGGACGGGATTCCATGTAAGTGAACGGCCGTCTATATTTGATGGACGACCATTCACTAGAAAAATATTTATAGAAAAATCAGGCGTTTGGACTACTAGTGTGAGTCAGGGGTACACGTAGGCCGATACACATTTTCGATGTAAAATAATCGGTCCATAGCTTTGTTAGTGTGAGACAGGAGTATACGTAGCCCGGTATACATTTTCGGTGCAAAATAATTGGTGTCCGTAGCTTTGTTGTAAACTTATATAGAACAAGAAGGAAGTCCAGACTTCGGCTTACATCATTTCTTGGACCAATGAATCCAACTACACTGTTTATCCATATAGAATTTGAAATTTCAAAGGTGTTGCAGTCTGAAAAGGGTAAGCGACGTTTTCTTACCCAAGGACCAAGGTAGGCTTCTTAGGGCTATCTCCAAAGCATTTTTTGTATAAATAAAGAGCAACTTCATTGATTTTTTAATATAAAGAACAAATTTTTTATTCAAATCTAATAGACTCTTTAAATTTTAGGAGATAAAATATTTTTTTTTAGAAGAAAACTTAATAGGAGGGATAAATCATAAATAAAATGAATAGAAACTTGTAATTTATTATTTAAAATTAGGATAAAGAGTGAAATTTGACTCTCTAAATGTGGAGAGTCAAACTCACTCTTTAATTTATATTTAAACAATAAAGAGTCTGTTAGACTCTTTTCTATGGATAAACTTTTTATAATAAAGAGTTTAGGTTATATAAAGTGTCATTTGGAGATACTCTTATTAATTAGATAATTGACTAATTGATTAATTAGGTAATTAATTAATGGACTTCATATTTTTATATAGTCAAGTCAATACTCAAAGTCGAGCCTCCCTTCCTTCCTTGTAATTTACATTTCACATACTCTTCAATTATTGGCATGGATACTCTGTCTTCGACAATGACTACAACTACAGCCTCCATCTCTGCCCATCTCTTAGATGTTCATTTATTCATTCATTTTCATTTGTTCTATAAATATATAACTATACCAAGTGAAATTTTGAGGGCCAATGTGTTTCAATATTTGTTATGTTCTTGCTGGCTTCAATCTTCATTTTGACATTAGGTTAGGAAATATTTCAAGTGATTTGAAACTCCCACCTAGTGAAACTTATTATTTGGGTTAGACATGTAAGATTTAAAGTGGCCACATGCCACAATTATTCAGTTAACATTATGCAGTTAAGGAGTGGTTTTAAGGAGTTATTCAAGGTAAGCGGTCTATCTTAATCCTTGATCGAAGTTATGAAAGGTTGTTGTTGGGAACAGAATATCAGTTATAATTGGCATAGACTAGAAGACATCTCTCAAACATTCTCTCACAAATCATCATCATGAAATTCACATATGGTTACTTTTATCACTTAGGTTAACCACAATCTACATTTGACTTCCATCATCTCTGGATTGATTCTCTTATAACGTTTGGACAATATGATTGGAGGTAAGTAATCCAGTTTCGCATTAAGAATATACACATTCAGTTATTTCCAGAATTTGCAAATTAAAATTCTGATACGCAAGCTGATTGGACGACTTCTTAAACTTGTCATGTAGTAGAAGGTTAACTTTTCTTGTAGAAATAATTTAAGCCAAACTTTAGAAATAGGAAACATAACACATGTATAAGAAATAATATAAGGTCTCCTTTGCTTTTGCATTATTATTGGTAGTCAATTCAATCAACCCATGCAAGCTAATGGACCACTCATTCTCAAAGCAACATAACCACATAATTTAATTTATTAAAAATATATAAAGAAAATAAGAAAAGAAATGACTTCAAAAGAAAGGAAAAGCACATAAACAAAAACAAAAAAATACCCACCATCCCCAGCTCAAAGGATCCAATCACATGCCAATTTTCAACGTTAATTGCTTTCATAATCAAACTCAATTTGTTGATCACAACATTCAGCTTCCCAATTTTTTTTTTTTTTTTTTTAATGATTAGGAGTTTCCAGGTTAGCGTATGCGTACCTTAACTAATCTCTAAGACCTTAGAATTACTGGCTGAGAAAAAACTTCAGTGGCTACCGTTATTAACATCTGAAGGGGAAATCAAATTCAAGACCTCTTAAGTAATATACCAAAGAATTCCTACCAAACCACTCATTAGCTTCCTAATTGTTGCACCTTTTCCCGTTTTGCCCTAGTATAGGACAAATCATAGTACCCAAATAACATTAAGCAAAGATATTGCTCCACCAAAATTTTCATCCTTATTTGATGATACCCAAATGGATTTCAATTAAAACATTCATGTATTTAGGAGGCGTTTGGTCTCTTTGTTTTTAATTTTTTTTGGTAACCGAAGTATCCTAACCAATTTGTATGTATCTCAATTAATTTTCATGGTATTGAACACCCTCCAAACTCAAAAGACCAAGTCACAATATAGTAAATGACCCTAAGGTTTGAACCAAAAAACTCAAAGAATGGAGCAAAGTTACTTAACGGTCAGGTTTAATAAAAGTGAACTGGTTTAGAGTCTGAACAAATTCGAATGAACAAATTTTATGATATAGAATAACTTATGGGCATCAAAATCATAGCAACGTAACAAACCAAACTTGGATAAACTATAGATAGAATATATTGTATTTCACTGCATAATTTATGATTTTTCATTGCATCAGGTTTTGTCATTTTTTTTCTTCTCCTCCTTCGTCCCTCTCACTCAAACATCATTATCCTTTTAGAAAGTTACACTAAAATATTTAAAACAGCATCATATTTACCAAGTTACCCTCTAGTTAATAATGGGCTTCGACACTGGCCCTAACTGAACGTTACTAGAACCGTCACTGTTTCCGTCACCTTTGCCGAAAAGTT